CTGGCATATCTTCTGGCATTCTATCTGGCATATCTCATGGCATTTTCTCTGGCATATCTTCTGACATTCTATCTAGCATATCTTCTGACATTCTTTCTGGCATATCTTCTGACATTCTGTCTGGCATATCTTCTGACATTTTTTCTGACATATCTTCTGACGTTCTATCTGACATCTTTTCTGACATTCTTCCCGTTGAGGTCCGGCAGTGCCCACTGCGATCTGGAAGTCGCGGTTGAGGTCCGGCAGTGCCCACTGCGATCTGGAAGTCGCGGTTGAGGTCCGGCAATGCCCACTGCGATCTGGACCTCGCTCGCGGGGATCTGGAGCTCGCGGTTGAGGTCCGGCAGTGCCCACTGCGACCTGGAAGTCGCGGTTGAGGTCCGGCAGTGCCCACTGCGATCTGCAACTCGCGGTTGAGGTCTGGCAGTGCCCACTGGGATCTGGAGCTCGCGGTGGAGGTCCGGCTGTGCCCACTGGGATCTGGACTGCGAGGAGGAGGCGGCGGGTGAGGAGGCGGAGGAGGCAGAGGAGGCGGAGGAGGAGGAAGAGAACAGCTCTGATAAAATCTAACAACCCTCACCTGGCAGGTGGGAAAAAACTAATCATCATCCCTTCATCCTATTACTAAACCCCCTCCTAATACTAAAAACTAGTGTCCATCTCCAATTTTTGAAACTTTCAGATTGGCCAATTTGACTTTTAATTGATCCCCTTTTAAAAAAACAATTTAAAAATCAACCTACCATTTGTGACTTTCCTCCCTAATACTAAAAACTAGTTCACCCCGGGGTGTTTAATATTAGGGGGAAGCTTCGGGCAATATTTTAATTGCGTTACATCAGGAAATTTAATTGATTTTGAAATCGGAAAAAATAGTTTTTATTATTAAGGGTTTACATTTAGTATTAGGGGGAAGCTTCGAAATCCAATTTTTGGCAATATTTTAATTGCGTTATATAAGGAAACTTAATTGATTTTGAAATCGGAAAAAATAGTTTTTATTATCAAGGGTTTTAATTTAGTATTAGGGTTCCGTAATACTAAATACCCCCCGAATACTAAAAACTACATGCAGTGTTTATTATTAGGGGGGGTTAGTATTAGGATGAAGGGATTATTACTTTGAATCTCCTGTGAAAAACTCGCGACAAGTCCCTCGCAAAAAATTGAAGCATCTTGAAAATTTCATGGCAAGGTTTTTCAACAGTTTACTCAAGATTAATACATTGCCAATGGCATCGTACCGCATATTCTATTTTTTGCACATCGTTGTCATAAAATCTCTATACTCTATACGGATTCCTCTGAGATCCGTGCATGCGTGTCTCCCAGCTTTTCGTGCAAGGACATCACCTCTGTGCGAGTCCTGCACCGGTGTGATGTTCCACAGGCGAAAACTAGAATTAATATTGCATGCATGCATGCATGTATGCATGTAGGTAGGTAGCTAGGTAGCTAGGTAGCTAGGTAGCTAGGTAGCTAGGTAGCTAGATAGCAAGGTAGCTAGGTAGCTAGGTAGCTAAGTAGCTAGGTAGCTAGGTAGCTAGGTAGCTAGGTAGCTAGGTAGCTAGGTAGCTAGGTAGCCAGGTAGCTAGGTAGGTAGGTAGGTAGGTATGCATGTATGTATGTACGTATGTATGCATGCATGCATGCATGTATCTATGTATGTATGTATGTATGTATGTGCGTGCATGTATGGATGGATGGATGGATGGATGGATGGGTGCATGCATGTACGTACGTATGCATGCATGCATCATGCATGCATGCATGCATGTATGTATGTATGCGTGCATATCTATGTATGTATGTATGTATGTGTGTATGTATCTATGTATGTATGTATGTGTGTATGTATGTATGTATGTATGTATTTATGTATGTATATATATGTATGCATGTATGCATGCATGCATGTATGTATCTATGATGTATGTATGTATGTATGTATGTATGTATGTATGTATGTATGTATGTGTGTATGTATGTATGTATGTATGTATGTATGTTTGTGTGTATGTATGTATGTATGTATGTATGTATGTATGTATGTATGTATGTATGTATGTATGTCTGTGTGTGTATGTATGTATGTATGTATGTGTGTGTATGTATGTATGTATGTATGTATGTCTGTGTGTGTATGTATGTATGTATGTATGTATGTATGTATGTATGCGTGCATGCATGCATGCATGCATGCATGGATGCAAATATTTATTTATATATATATATATAATTATATGTATGTATGTATGTATGCATGCATGCATGCATGCATGTATGTATGTATGTTTGTGTATGTATGTATGTATGTGTATGTATGCATGCATGCATGCATGCATGTATGTATTGTGATTCCTGAAACCCGCATACCTTGACACAGCTTGAAGGGTCATGTCGCCATGTCTTGCATGTCAGACTGTTGTGTTATTGGAGCCATAGTTGTGGCTTAGTTGATCATATTGGTTGGTTGGTTGATCTACATCATTGGGGTTCAGGCGGACCACAGAATTGGATAGGGTTCGGCCCCCTTAGTGCCAAGGAACTTTCTTGGGTGAGAGCGAAGGGTCCCTACCAGTGTGATCAATTCACATTAGTAGCGGAGCCAAGAGCTCCCCAGGACAATTTTGCAATCAGTGCAAGAGCGATTTTCCGGTGCCTTCCAGTCCTGGAAGGGAGCAGATCAGAGACCTTTGCAGCCTGCAGACATGTCGGAGACAACATCATCGACAGGCGATGCAGGTGCATCCACTGACACGAAAACCTTTGGGTCAGCCTCGGGTTTCCGTGGCACCTGATACCGGCATAGCCGGGTGAGACGGACCTGACAGAGTACTCCAGGAGATAAGAATTCTTGCCACCTGAGCACTTGAGCCAGCTGGCTCCTCGTGCTGCCTTACAATGCCGTGGCTCGGCCTTTTAGAAGGTGGTGAGGCTCAAGCCAGAACAATTGAAAGTGAATTCTCTTGAGGGGGTCAAACTCATCGTGACGACGCTGGGTGGCGTCTGGGGGAAAACTGTGCTGGAAGACAAGTACTCCAAATTTGAACGTGCAATCTTTGGGGTGTCTCAAAAGGCTGACGAAAGCAATGAAAGCTATGTGGCAAGGCATGAAGTCTTGTTTGAAGATCTGGTTGCTCAAGGAGCCACTTTGAGCGACATGCGGGCCTACCTGCTGCTCCGAAACTCAACCTTGACCTCGGAGGACAAAAAGCGCGTGGTGGTGGAGCCACAAGGGAATCTCAAATACGACCTTGTGGTGAATGCCATTCGCATGCTGGGAGCCAAGTTCTTTCATGAGGTTCAAGGACAACAGAGAAACTACAAGAGCAAGACCTATGATGTGAACTATGTTCAAGAAGCGAAGGGGAATGCAACTATGCCGATGAAAGTCACTATGCTTTCGTCTCTGAGAACGGAGAAATTCCCGATGTGGCAATCGACCCGATGTGGCAATTGACCAGTTTCTTGCTGAAGGGGGATGAAGATGCCTTGGTGGTGCAACAATTCGAAGATGCCTTGATAGATGCGGTCCAAGGCGACAATGAGATGGGCACCTACATCGGCACCTACTTGGATGCCCGAAAGCGCCTATCAGAGAAGGTGAAAAATCGAGGATTCTGGCCCTCCCGTGGGAAGGGTTTTGGCAAGAAGGGGAAGACCAAGTTTCCCATGAGACAGTGCAAACCTCTGGCGGTCAGGATTGCGGAGTCAGATTGCCGACTCTGCGGGCAGAGGGGCCATTGGAAGGCTGAATGCCCAAAGAGGAATCAAGGTGGCGCTTCTTCAACATCGATGCCAAAGACCCAAATGGCCAATGTGCTTGTCTCTGTGGACAAGGAGCTGGACGATGACGAAGCTGATGTCTACGTCATGGCGTCTCAAGACCTGGCCTGATGATGTGCTTATGTCGAACCTTCCCAAGGACCAGTTGACGGGTTTCAGAAAATCATCACCTCCTGGGCAATTGGTGTTTGTGAAGGGGTAAGCCCGTAAGCCACAAATGGTAATGATAACCAGACCATGGACCAAGGGTTGTCAAAGTCGTCATACTACCAACAAGTACGCCCTGAATGAGCCAGCCAGTCAGGAAAACGAGCCCTGAGCGTAGCAGTGCAACCCCATCTCCCAAGAGTGCAGGAGATTTGCCAAGTGTCTCTTGCGAGATCAAATCAGATGGAACTTGTCTGATCGTCCAAGGTTCAACATGCATTGTAAGGAACTAGGTCAGCCTGCAGAAAGCAACCGCGAAATTGCCATGTTTGCCACCGCTCAAGCAGTAGGCATACTCGATTTGGGGGCCTCACAGACTGTCATGGGACAACACCAAGTTCCTGAGTTTCTTGAAAGCCTTCCTGCAAACGTCCGGAAGATGGTGCATGAGAGACCGGTCGAAATGACCTTCCGTTTTGGCAACAACAGCATCGTCCCATGCACACGTGCCATGTTTGTACCAGTAGATCAATATTGGATTAAGATAGCCATTGTAGAATCCAGGACTCCATTATTGATTTCGAAACGTGCTTCGCGCCACAACGGCGTGCACAGTTTCGACATCGCAACTTCCAAAAGTGGTCCGAACGTGGTGTGTTTTGTACATTTTGACTTGGAAATGTGCTTCGCGCCACAACGGCCTGCAATTTTTCATCTCTCATCTGGCCAGCTGGCTCTGCACCCGCCGCTTTAGCGAGCCTACTTTTCGACCCTCTGGAGCCACAAATCATTGGAAAAAACACAGTGTTTCGCGACTTTCCTACCTTTTCGCGCACCTGCATCTTCTTTCTTCTGACTCTTTCTCTTCTCTGATCTTCTCTCTTCTGCTCTTCTCTTCTATTCTTCTGCTCCACCTCTGCTTTTCATCTGTCCATATTGTCGGAAGTTTGACTTATTTTGACTTCCTTCGATCAAAATAGATCAAAGAGTACAAAAAAAAACAGCAACATACAGCAACAACCCAATTTGTTTTGATCTGATATTGAACTGGATTCACTGGCCTCCATGGGCTCCCGTGAACTGGCCAAGGTGGTGAAGCCCACTAGGTCCGATTGGGCGATGGTCGCCTTGGTTCGTATCTGTTCCATGGTGAGATGGTGAATCTCCCCATGACAAAAACACCATTTTCATGTGTCAATGGATTGGTTTAAGGGAAAATCTACAGGAAACCCATGGGTTTTTACCATCAAATTGGTTGGGCTTTCCTGTAAATTTTCCCATCATCCAATTCTATGAATGTGGGATCTCAAATAAAACATCTGCTGTAAGATGGAGCAAGGTGTACCATTGTGTATTCATATTTTGGAATATGTGGATCATATTTGCAGGGTTGCTCCCAATACCCACAAGGGGGCAACTGGGTAGATATAAACAGATAACTATAGATAACTCAGATAACCAATTTTCCCCTCCTTATGGATATACATTTACCATATTTTACCATCATTTACCTACAATAGATTGGAGCAACTCTGATTTGAGGGGCTGATCTTCCCAGCGATGGCCGAGGCACTGATCTGTAGTTGTGCGACACAAAGGTTGCTGTTCCTGGGTTTTATGGAGCAACTGCTTACTGATGCTTAGTAGGGAATGGGGGAATGATCCATAAAAACTATTTATAATCATCCCTTTCCCCTATTCCCTACTAAGCACCAGTGAGACTGAGGCCTTTGTTCTGGGAGCATCTAACTTTAGAATCTTGAGAAAGTGGATGAAAGTGGGGATGCGCAGAGCAACAGGAAGGCACAGAAACCAGCACAATGGATCCAATACTAAAACGGAGTGTCCAAATCGGGAGTAATCCCACCCCCTCTTTTTTTGAGCACCCCTTACATCCATGGTAAAAACTAGGGGGAGATTTCTACAGAGGACCATACAATGGAGATGTTTAACATTGGGGTGATGGGATTGCAGTAAATACCACCAGGAAGGGGAATAAAAACACCGATTTTCCACCCTTCTCCCTGAGGTGCCCGGCTCTTGATCTCCTCAATGACCATGGGAGGCATCAAAGTTCTCAAGATGCCCTCGTGGCAGCGAGTTAACTCGGACTTTGGGGAGCTCCCAGCGCTTGGTTTGGCTTCAACAATCCATCAGTTGAATCATGGAGTTGCTTCAGAACCCCCCAAAAAATGAAACATGATCCCTATAGATTCCCCATGATGGATGTCCCATTGAGAAAATAAGGAATCATCTTCACCAAATCCAGGTGATGGGTCAGAGTCGATATTGGCAACAACGTATCACACCATGTGTCCAATCGGTGAATAACGGCCCCAAAAACTGTGCACACGCCGATTGGTAGAAGGTTCCCAGCAATGGCACCAAACATCAGCTGTCGTTCTGGTTTGTCAAAGCCAGGGGACTTGTTTAAATCCACAAGTTTGCTGTCCTACTCATTAATCCAGCCTGGCAATTGGAAAAAACTTGTTCAAGAGGTACATCATATCAACGAGCGAGGGATGTTTGGGAATCATATGCGATTCCCACAGGGGAGCCACATTCACCCGCCTCTGAGTGCGGATACAACTGGGGTATTGTCAAAATTGACCAGCATCACATCATTAAACTCTGGATGGTTCAAAAGATACGAACACAACTTTAAATGATACGGTAAACAATACCCCCATCGTATATACCTATATTTTGCAACGTTTATAATCATACTTATAACAAATAACATAGATGATGTATACATTTCTCTATGTGTATAAATCTATTTATCTATATGTATATATAATTATACACAAAATTATATATATATAATTACATAATTACACATATATAATTATATATACATATAATTATATATTATATATATATATGCTAGCAAAGAACCTACATCATAACAACTAAAAACAGTTCCTGATCGGTCAGCCCATCTCCTCAATCTTCTCCTGCATCACTTCCACCCGCCGCATGGCGATGTGCCTGGTGGCACCAGTCGAGTTGTGGGGATGTAAACATGGCGATTTTCACCTATAAAAATGGAGAATAATGGATTCATCTATGATTCATCTATGAAACTAGTTGTCATTAATGTATATTAATGTATATTAATGTATGTTAAATTCGTAAAAGTGTAGTGGAAAGTGACATTTCATAGTACATAATAGTCAGGTATGTGGTCATCTATAAATTGAGATGTTTGTGCGATGGCTCAAAACCAAACACAGTTCACCACGCTTTATCCGGGACTTCGACCAACAACACCTGGATGCCCTTTCTGGAGGCACCTCTGGCGCAGGACCCACTCCATGGAAAAAATGCGGAAGGCGTTGAAGAGACTCACAACCTTGGCCGCAGGACCAGGGCAATTCCTGCCACACCTCTCCTCCCCCTTGAGACCAAGGATGGATGTTTCGTCTTGACAGCTGTGCTACTGTAAAAAGAACTCCACAGCTAGATGGTATAGCCGTTTTGGAGCTAGACTGTACTGTAAATGTCCAAACTGTTCCATTCCCATCCAACATCTCTGTCTTTGGGGCCCACCACCGAAGATACTGGGGCGCCAGACGTTCAGATAGTTCAGGAGTCCACCAGTGTCAAAAACCTCCAAGGGCCATCGCTAGTTGCAGAGTTGAGAGTCCAACCCAGGCATGAGTTTTACAAAGCTGCCGGTTCACAATCCAATAATCACACAAATAAATTCCAATAAAGATATGAGCTATATCTCGAATTGAATAGAGTGTAACATACTTGGAAGATCTTGAATAGAGGTTGGCTCGATTGTTGCCGAAACTCTTCGTGAAGTCTTACCTCACATTCTCCACGTGCCAAGGCCACCAAGGCCACCAAGGGACCAACTGGCGGCCCAAGAGGATCAGGATTGCGGCAGTGATACACACACCGATGAAGCCGGGCAAAAACAGGGTCTGCGCTTTGGTCATCCAATAGCAAAACCTCGGTCCAGTTAAGCTGGGGCAGATACGAGGACCCTTGTAGCCCCCAATTCGCTGCAACTGGATCCTCGGAGAGGAAATCTGGGAATTGTTGACATGTGTGACAGGATCACCCAGAGAGGTGTAGACCCGGAAGCGCTATCGGTGTTTCCCTTCACCGGAAGCGATCCACCAAGAGGCTCCATGAAAAGCGCCAGCGGCAAGATGTTATCCGAGATGCCCAGCAAGGAAAAACCTGGGATTCCCATGGCATGGCAGGGCGATGATTCCCGGACCAAAACATGGCCCAACCATAGCCCAAACAACCCAAACAACCCATCCAAGCTACGTGGACAGAGCCGGGACCAGGTGTAAAATCCATGGCTGGGCATGATCTTCAGCAGGATGCCATAGGAACAGTAGATCAAGATGCCCAAAACGTGCTTCACCCTCAGCAGGGCAGGATATAGTCACATTCTGTCACATTCGTGCCTGGGATGCTACGAGTACGGCAACTTTGCACATTGCACATGCCAGCCATCAGACTAGCCATCTATGTCCAAAAATTGGCAGTTGACAGTTTTATATCACTCACTACAAAAAAAAAACTAAAATCCTGGTTCTCTGCGTCTCAAATCTTGACCCATCTGAGGTGGCGGCGTAGACAGCACGGCCTGATGGCGGAGTTGGTTGAAGGTATCATTTGCAGGAGAACCCTATCAAACTCCATATTTGGGCACAAAACCCACCTTCCCAGATTTAAGGAAATATATATATATATATCCAATCCAATCAATCCATTTAACAAACAGAGAGAGGGAGTCTGGGTCTCAGGAACTCAGAACTCCCAGAAGCCACCCAAGATATGATCACTCAAACTGGACAAAACCAGGGTGTTGGGCCCTTTTGGTTGTTTGCAGGTGGTATCCAAAAGGCTCGACAAGGCTCGACCGCACATCCGACACATCCCCACCTGATGTCTGAGCACATCGCCGTGCTGAAGATAGCCTTGCGCCACCACATGCCAAAAGGCCAAGATGATGAACCAAATGGTGATGCGGCAGAGCAAGAACCTAAGCTTTCGATGAACCAAGGTTGAAGGTTTTGGATGGTTTTGGGGGTTAAAGGACACCTGCATGTATAATCATGTATATACATCCCCTAAGTTTGGGGATTTGAGAAGGGTCGGGGTGCAATTCAAAATTTGACCCCTTGAGGTCTTGAGGTGGATCTGAGTGGCATCAGATGCTCGGGATAAATCCCAGGGTCATTTTGCTCGCCAACCCCGGTACCCACCTCAGATCGCAGCCAAGGCGACCATTTGATCTCCAGAAGGGAGACCCAGATGTCGTCACTACTCTCAAAGCCTCCCAACTTGAAAACTGAATAAACCTCGGCAAGTCGCACGAGTCACCTCATCAACACTGTTTCTTTATTCCTCATGCAGACAATCTGCTAGCTGTCAACGGATGCAGTGCGGGCCGCTGCGCACTGATCTGTGCTTGCTCTGGGTACTAAATACATCTAAATACGCTGCGTCATTCGTCCCTAAGAGGCAGCATCCATTTCGAATGACAAATCATCCAAACATATCCAAACAAACATATGTTCATGACATTAGAAGAATCTAAATCAAAGACTGTGATTGGTGGCCTCTGCCGAAGGATATTTTGGTCACTAACAATCAACATCCCAACATCCCAACCAGGGATGGAACGGGAGAACAAGCGAAGATCCAGCCATTGGCGCTCTGACCCTCCGGAGCTTGCAAGCATTGCGCTGCCCAGACACTGTAGTACCAATGGTCACCAGAAACGAGGAAAGTGCTTGCTTTCTCACCTCTTTCAGAAGTCCTTAGTAACATCAACTCCACTGAGCGGAACAACCAAGGCTCCATGTGTTTCTACCAGACATCGCAGTGAAAATGTCACTGAGTTTCAGGCAATTCTTCAAGCTCTTGATCATTTGACAACTGTCCCATGTTTTTTATCAACCAGAAAACAGCTCCTGTTGGTCAAGGATCGGCCGCAGGTGATGTTGTTGTGGAACCAGACCAGGAAGTCCTGGCTCTGAGCCAACGAGCCAAAGAAAACCTGTTTGATCCACGGCATTTTGTCTGTTGGATCAACGATTTCTTTCACCAAAAATCCTCCAACTGCGGAGGAAACTGGTGTCCCAATGAGGAGCCCTTCGGCGCCTCCTCTTCATTGTCCGGAAATCCCCTTGGACTGGCCCACCTGCGTAGAAGATCAGCTGGATTTGGTGAGCTTATATTGTTGGCGAATGTTGGCAATTCAGATATTCACAGGAAGGGTCCCGAAATGAATAAAGAGAATTTACCATTTACACGGACTCAGGTGATTTCTCCATGAGTCCCACGAATGGATCAAGCTATGCAGCTATATTAAGCTTGAAAAGTCCACCTTGGTCCACCTCCAACTCCCAGTTTCCCCTCATGGCCCATCCCAGAAAGACCGCGACCTTCGGCAGTCAGCGAGACGCTGCAACGTGCGTCGTAGGGTGCCGCTGGTGCCCCACCAAGCGATGATCTGGCTACTTTGCCTCATGATTGGAAGGTCAGATGGGTATCCAACTTCCATTATTCAAGGTGTGTGTATATAGTATATACAATATCTATGTTGTAGAATATGCTTTTAGATATGTATGCTATATGTATGTATATATATAATATATATATGTTGTGTTGCGGGTATATGTATATATGTATGCATGTAATGTAATTAGTGTAATGTAATGTAATGTAATGCAATGCAATGCAATGCATGTGTGCATGCGTCTATGTGTATACGTGTGTGCGTGTGTGTGTGTGTGTGCATGCGTGTATGTGTGTATGTGTGTATATTATATATATACGCATGTGTTTGTATCCAAGAGGAAACCCATGAATCTCTTCAATCTCCAGGTTGAATCTTGAGGGGTAGAGCAGATCGGCTGCCTCAAAGATGAAAAGATTGAAAATATAAACACAATGATTTTTTGCAAACAGACTCTCCAACCCAGCTCACAGCAAGATACGACTTTGTCACTTCGCGTGCCACTTCCAAGATATCCTGCAGCTAATGAAGTGACCGGTGAAAGTGAAGTAAGGTAGCCAGGTAGCCCTCAATCCACTGGTGAATCATCATTTTCCTTCCAAAAAAATGCCATTTGGAGATGAAATCATATGCAAAATACATACTTCAGGTTTCGGCAGGGTTTCCATCAAATGTGGGTAAAACAATCATGTGCACCATCCCCCAGTCACCATTTTTATAGCTGGTATGGTTACCATTCCCAAATGGATGGTTTATGATTATTGTACCCACATTACCATCGCTCCCATCTACCACAGAATCTTCGCAATGGGGCCTCACCATCGTAGTCCGTGTCGGACTGGTCCCCATTCATGCCCAGCAGCTCCTTCATGATGCCTGAGCAAGGGGTCAAAACCCGTGGAAACCCCCGGTCTTCACACCAAAATAGCTGGTAAACTCCCAAAATATAGTGTAACATACTGTGGATGGAGGAAATCCTGCACCAGTTAATAGATGGTTTATCCCATTGTAATCCCATTATTTACCATGTTTTATAGTTCCCAATAGTTACCAACTGGTGCAGGATTTCTTCCATCCACAGTATGTAACATGGGGTGATAGGTTTTGATCCATCCCCAGTTCAATCCCATTTCAATCCCATTTCAACATTCTGGGAGCTCAAACAGTCAATCATCCATATCACGAACTGTCACAGTTGGTGGGCCTGCCAAGCGATTTGGGCTACCAGTCGAAGGTTTGCGCACCTGCAACGAGGCGCAGTGGCTGATGGCGGTTCATCTCTGTCTGCTGTTTTTGTGGCCGGCAAAAACCACAAGCTGATCATCATATAAACTCCAAAGACCAAACGGGTATAGCGCCACAATCATCAGGAAAAGGAAAAAGAAAAGGTTGGCTTCGCAGTTTCATCCAGGTCCGATACATTCCAAAACATCTTCAAAAAAAGATGTGAACTGATGCAAAAAAAAACATTACCACTATCACATTGTATGAATATCAGACAATCCCATGCCAATTAAATCACCATTTGTATCCCAATAGTTCGATCGTATTCAACCCCCATTTCTATGATCAATCAACCAGCATGTATCAGATCTTTTAATCAGATCCCATATGGAGCTTTCCAAAAATAGTGGTACCTCCAAATCATCCAAGTCATGGATGACCATTTTAGTGCCACTTGGGGATCCGGAAATTGAAAGAAACATCAGCTATGGTTCATGATATCCCAATATGTGCTTAAAACCTATACAATCCCATATAATCATCAACCTATATATACATATATATATATATTGATATAATCCCAATATTGATATAGTCCCAATATATATATATATTAATATATATATATATATATATCAAGCCATCTCCCCAACCCGGCCACGTCCCACGTGGCCCCGCCTCAGGCCGTCGAAGGTGGCCCGGCTGCGTTTGTGCACGATGGTCCACGCGCTCCGAAGGCCTGCTGTGGATCCCATCGGAAAAAACGCTCCGCTCCATTGGAAAATCATCGGAGTTTCATGGGATATCACCATATCATCACCATATCATCAAGCAAACTGGGGATTTTTGTGAGATTTCGGGTGAAAAATGGGAGTTCATGGGAAAAATCGAAATGAGAAAATACAACTGGATGGCTGGATGGAGATTTATCGCTGGGAAAATGATCGAACTAAATGGATGATTTTGGCCATCTTTGATTCCTGGGAGGAAATATGGGACTGTAACTGGAAATTACCATCTTCAATTCACAATGGCAAAAGTTATTGGGAATTCAAGATCAGTTAGAGGTCTTGTGCATTTGAGTTTGTCCAAGAATTAGTAAGTTATACCCCAACATGTCAATTCAATTGAGAAAAAAATAGTCATCTGTTGAAATGAAGGGTATTGCATTTTTCAGGCAAAGCCATTTGGAGCCCAATCATCTACAATCACAGACATATCTGTAAATGGATAGCTTGGACGACAGGAATGATGAGCCATCCTACACATTGCAGAGCCTTGCACCGAGCCTTGGACCAGAGTGCTCAACCACCGGCACATCAGTGTGGAAGCGATGATCCCTGTGCCGTTGCTCCCATCGCAGCATGTTCGGAGAAGTTTGTACAAATTTAGACATTATATATATATACAGTATATATAATTATGTATATATACATACGTAGTGATATATGTCTACGATTGTCTACGTATACAGCATACACTTGGGCTGCCATGTGCGAAACCACCGGCCTTCGGGGAGGTGAGTGAAGGCGGTCGCCCATCGCACCCACCGTTGGGATGCCTCGAACGGCGACCGCTTCGCTTCGCTTCGCGACTCCCGGGACCAAGGGAAGCCACAGTGGAAACGGGTTCGAAATCGGAAAAATGTTGGCATAAAATGGGGATTTCACGTGAAAAAGTGGTGTGTTGACCTAGTAAAACATCAATAAAGTATCAATCCGTTAGGTCTATCCGTTGAAGATGGATCACATCGGTTGTAGGCTGGTAAATAGTGGAGTCTCAAATTGGGGACCCCCAACTCACCAAAAATCATATATTTTTAAGAATTTCTATGGTTCTTGGGGTCCCAAATTTTGAGACAAAGACGTAAAGTAAAGGTTCTTATCCATTGAGAATGGATCAGTTTACTGGTGCATGAGGCTAAGAAGTGTCGTTCACCAGATTTTGTAATAGTTGGTTTATCCAAACGTACTACCAATGATCATCACAAAACCTGATTAGTTGCCAGGATTCCAATCCTGATTGTACATGGCAAGAAAAAAAAACTGAACCCAACAACTAACCATCATGCAACGATGGTTCTTGCTGCCTGTTGGACAGCAGGGACAAAATTGCATAGCCCTCCAAAAGCTGATATATGATCATTGATCATGAAAAATCTATGGAAATCCCTGGAAATCTCCATGCCATTGATGCCATGTAACAATGAACAAATCATCTCTGACATTCTCCTTTCATGCCAGACCCACCTTTTTTGGGGCTGCCAAGGTACTCAGCTTCTCGCTGGTCTGCCGGGTGGCTTCAATCCCTGAAATTTCCTCTGGAGGTTCCCCACGCCTTGGTACAAATGAAAGCCGCTGCATGTCCCAAACAAAGTTTGCAAATGTTTGCAAAAGTGAAATGCAAAATAGTTTCGTCCACAACATGACTGTGGTTATCTGTGGTTACTTCGTATCATTTCGGCCTTTCACCAATTCAGGTTTTTGTGCCGCTGCCAGCAAAGTTGCAGCAAATGGGTCATGACGTTGCCTTTTCCCTTCATCGCCTCAGCTGCAGATTGCGTCACAAGAAAACCCATCCCACCAGTCCCATCGCGTCAGCTGCAGATTGGCCAAGTTGCCACGTAGCCGCGGGGTTTCGTGGAAGCCCAGGAGGGCAAATATTTCAGGGTTTCATCACCAAATTGAACCTGACGATCGAGATTTTCATATGAGACCACCCCACAAATGGCGGGAAAATGCGGGAAATCCCACATTTCTGTCCACTCAGAAGATGATTTGATCATTCAAAGATAAAGGATGATAAAGGTATTCCAACCATTCATCCATGTGTTGACCAGAAAGTATATACCCAACCCGGACCCAACTGGTGTTCATCCTCATCTTTTTACATTTTTCGTGTTTTCCTCCCCCTTCTTTAATTTTATTTGTTTTCTTGCGCGTTCTGTTGCCAGAAAAATCCCGCGATGTGTATCCCACCTCGCCAGGCAGGCCCTTCTGCATCATCCGCGCCGCGGTATTCATGGTGTCGCCGAAGAGGCGAAAGCGCGGGAGCCTGGCCGCTGAGGCTTTTGTTGGAGCCTCAAATGGCTCTCGCAATTCTCTAGTTTGTCAGTTGCATCCATTTTTTAATGTATCTATGTAAAACGTTTGTGTATAAATATTTTTTTTATAGATAGATGTGATATGTTTATGTATTTACATATCTACATTCAAATAAATTTAGATACAAACATATAGCTACATTTATGTATACATGTGTATATATATATAATATGTGTATATATATATAATATGTATATACGTGTGTATACCTATATATTTAAATACATGTAAATATAACCATTCATATATATATATATACATATGTATCTACATATATTTACCAAAAAAAAACATATGGATATATATAATATATATATATATATTTACAATTTAATATGTCTATGTATATTTTTTCTATATGTATATATTTACATTTTAATACATACATATATACATGTATATGTATGTATATATATATATGTTTATTTACATAAATGTACACATACATATTTACATGTATATATTGCGACGGACCCGCAGATAGAATTCGCAAATCAGTGAGACAATCACTTAGAACTCTTCCTCAGTGATACTTGGGGGGCGCACTAAGAATTATGGCGGGCGCACTAAGAACTGTCGGCAGTGATACCATAAGAACGCACTAAGAATTCGAAAGGCCATATCACAACCATGCACTTAGAATCCCCAACTGCAGTTAGAATTGAAGTGAAATCCCAAAACCACAAAAAACAGTGCTGTTAGACTTGTATCAACTCCTAATCCACCCTGAAAATCGACTGCTGTACTATTGTATACCCCACCCCAACCCCCCGAAGAGGCACAATAGCGTTTTTAAGCGACGGCGAAGCAGGCGTCCTGAGGGTGTATCTACACATTGTATAGTGTGTATGTACACATATATATATATGCTAACCCCCCCTCCAAAACCCACCGCGCAGAAGATTCAGATGCTTATTGATGTGTCAAGGAACCTTTGTTGAAAAGTTGTTTCTTTTAGAATGATATCAAGCCGTCCTTCAATCATACACCAGATTCCTACACAATATGCAGTGTGTGATCAACATTCAGTATTGCTGTCGATGCAAATTGTTTCATTCCTGGAAAAAAAAGTTGTTAAAGGAACATGCTGCTTACAGGTTACAATCTGCCTTGATGATATTTCCTCAAGTAAGCAGCTCAGCCTTCCTATTGTGTTTTTGAGTGTGACCATTTTTCAGGAAAGACTTCACTTGTTCAAAACAATTGCCCTGAAGACAAGGTCTTCCCTTGAGTGCAGAAACATACAATATGTGGAAAAATGAAATGCGCCTTTTAATAAAGTTCAGACTTCCTGCTCAATTCTGTGCATGACATTTGCCTTGAAAGGAAAACGTCACTTCTTCAAAATAATGATGCCTGTTTTGTTCAGATGTTTCATTCATATGGAAGGGTATATTGTACACATACAATCATGACCTGTTTCTTTCAAAAAATACTACATACACCCAAGGGTTCTACTTCATAGTAATGTTTTCTTTGTATTACTGCATGAATTTCAATCAAATGGTTCACTCCCTTGTGAAGGATGCGTTTCACATACTTGCACCAACATGTTCTTTAAGGAATACCATAATCATTGTCTAAAATGAGTACTCAAAGGCTTCCTTTCTCAAGGAATACTACACCCTCTATTTTCCAGGAATCTGTTACTCTACTTAATGAAATGTTGCAAAAAGTGATGCTACGCTTCTACAGTTCTTTCAGAATACAGAGTGCTGCATCCATTTTAAGTACTGCTGCATCTATTGATGCATTCTATGCAAAAAAAAAAAATGTTGCACTTTCTTGAAGGAATGCTCCACCATGTTTAAGGAAGGAATCGCTCTTTACAATGGAACATTGCAAAAAAGCAATGCTACACTACAACTCTTTTCCAGATATATTATATTATATATACTGTCACTGTTATCAAGGAATACTGCATAGACTGAGTCGCTTTTCTTCAAAAGGGGCAATATCAATTTCACAGAGGTAGCATTTGTGAGGTTTTTTGTTTAAACAAAAAGGCGGCTCACATTTTTATAGTGTGCAGTTTTTTGGGGGGGATTGGTTTTTTTGGATTGTTTTTTCCCGAATAAATCAATCAATATATGAAAAATAATAAATGCAATAAAAATAGATAACCAAAATTTCCTTCAGGTTTCAAGTCTGACTCAAGTCTGAGTGACTTATGGATCCAAGATCCAAGATCCAGGATTTCCAAGATTTCCACCATGGATCCAAGAAAAGCTTTCTGGAAATCTTGGATCTTGGATCCATAAGTCACTCAGACTTGAGTCCAGACTTGAGTCAGACTTGAAACCTGAAGGAAATTTTGGTTATCTATTTTTATTGCATTTATTATTTTTCATATATTGATTGATTTATGATGCCTAAATCCCCTCAATTTTGACTATGAAGAAAAGGTACCTAAAATACACTAAATTTACTGCAAATACCAGTAAAAAATGACTTTCGGTGGTTTTTTTTGGGTGGGTACATATATATATATATATTTATTTATTTATATTTATATATACATATATATTCTGTATATATAAGATATACTGTGTATATATATATATATTATACTGTGTATATATATACTGTATATATATATACACTGTATATATATATATACTGTATATATATACTGTATATATATATACTGGTTGGTGGTTTCAACCCCGCTGAAAAATATTAGTCAGTTGGCATGATTATTCCCAATATATGGAAAAAAATGTTTCAAGCCACCAATCAGTATATAAGGTATATATATATACATCTACAGCGGAGGTATATTGTCATTCTACATAGCCCTAGCTCTGTTGGATACGTCCGGAGTGCTGGATCTGTCCCTCCATGGGGTGCACCTCTTTCCGACCACTCCCGCCACCACTGGGCCCGTGTGGATTCCCATTTTCACCTCGACAGAGACTGGGATGGATCGTCAAGGATCATCATCCATGGGATGCACCAAAGGAATGTGGTAAACCCCATGGTAAACCCAACAATGACGATCCCCAAAATCACGATTTTTGGTGGTAACATGTGGTAACATGTGGTAACCATCCCCAGTCATGGTAGGTTTATGGCAGTTTTTCCACAAACTCGGCTCCTGATGAAATACTGCGCTGCCAAGCCACGCCGGAATTGAAGGTGGTCCTGGCCGGTTTTTCACCGTTGCAAGATCTACTTGGAGGAATCGTCCCAAATGGGTACAAACCTCCACATGCCTTGAATCTGGGGGAACTCCTGTTCCATCCACTTAAGGGGAGCTGCAAAGTAAAGCTTAATGCCAGGGCGGTTTCACCTTCTAAATGGTTAAAAGACAAAGATGTTAAAAGGTAGATCAGTGGAATCCTCAGTTTTTGTAGACACCAAAATGACTCAAATGACATACTGTGCGTTCCCTATTCCGGCGGGTTGCACCGTTTTCTTTGGGTTAGTTGTACGATCAAGTCATACTCTGAAATGTCTGGAACCCCCAAAGCATTCGTGAACAAGAAACATGTTAGGTGCAGTATGCATATAATGATCGAATTCTACGTGCTATGTTTGTAATGCAATGCAATGTAATACAATCTAACGTAACATAAAGAAATGTAATGCAATCTAGTAGGACAAAAATATAATGACATAAAATGCACTGTAAATGAAACTGACAATGGAATGTATATACACTATAAAATAGATAAGACTGTAATGGAATGGAACATTAACAAGTACATCAGCTATTACATCAGCTATTATCTGTGGCTTATTTTCCATAGCTATCTTAAATAACCATACGCTATACCTATTATCTGCCGCTGTTCATGACGGAGATCTCCTGGGCAAGTTCTTCAACTCCCAGGCCACCAGCAGCAAACGGCTCAAGCAGCCCGTGTGGCCGGTGAGGTGATCCTGCACCGGCACCACATCTGGGGAGCTGAGGTGAGTTTTCATGTGGGCTAATGTGCCATAATCATTGCGGATGGTTTAATGATATATATATATGTATATATATATATGGGTAGTTATATATATAGAGGTATTTATATACATATATATATATATGTGTGGAAATGAATCATCATTGAATGATCATCTTGTGGTAAGGAGATAATTCATAATATCTGGTTAATGATGATAATAATCATGATAATGATGCTAGTAGCAGATATGGTAATGGTGGTTGTTGAATGATCAGCATTCATCATCATGATTGATGATTAGTGATGGTCAGTGGTAGTTAATGGTTGTTAAAGATGATATTTCATGATAATGATGATGCCGATATCATGATTATCGTCATGATCAGAATCACACTAATGGTTATAGTGTATAAATATCAAAATGGTGATGATAGTACTGATTGTGATGGAAATATTGTCGCGTGGTTTTCTCTTGTTCTGTTTCCTAACAGATATGTGTTTGAAAACTAGTAGTAATGTCAATGACGGATGGTGATGATGGTGATGGTGGTGATGATGATGATGATACTGATACTGATACTGATACTGATACTAATACTGATACTGATACTGATACCAATACGGATACTGATACTGATACTGATACAATATATATGAAACTAAATAATTAATCAGAATGAAAACAATCATAATAGCCATGAATATGATATGATATATAGTGGGTTGAGACATTCCCCTCATAGATGAGTGGATTTAAGCGTCGAGCAAGGCTGGAGAGCATCATCATACCAGCAAACCTAAAGAAGGCTCCTGTTGGATCACTGGGAAACGCTCAAAAATGGGGTAGCAAGGACAAAAGAACCCAGAAAAATGCTGCTGTTCCCCTTAACATCCCTTAACCCAAAAATCCTTCCATTTTGGGGCCCTTGTGTTCAGCCATGCCCATCTGTACGAGTCTCCCGGTTCTTGGGATGTTCATCCCCATTCAACCAATGATTCATAACATGTCATCATCGTATATGGAGGTGTCCATAAAAGCTGGCACCCCAATAGCTGGATGGTTTATTGATGTTTATTTCATGGAAAATCCCAATCTAAAATGGATGATGACTGGGGGTACCCCCATGACTTAAGAAAACTCTTTGAAATCGCTCTCCTCATCCTGATCTGTGGGCGAGACCCCAACGCCGCAGACGTATTCCTCACCTGGAATGACGCACTGCATCCAAGAAAAGTGTGGGCATGCCAGGTGTTACTGCAAAATGGCATCATTGAACAAAATGTATCGTAGTCATTCTTGGTGATGTGAGTGCATTGCAATTTCATGTAGTTTCCCATGTACACTTCATAAATATTCATAAATCATCATTTCAGGCTTCAGATGTCTCCAATGCTTGGCTGCTTCACAAGGCCCCGTGCCTACAGTTTCGATCTTGGTGACCCCGTGAGTGGCACAGATCACATCAATCTCAATGAAGGTATCCTTGGCAGCGATGAACTAAGGTGGCTGGATTCATCCAGTCGAAGGGAAACCAGAGATACCAGAGCACGACTTGCCACTTTGTTGCACCTAGTTTGAGCATTGCATTCATGAAAGTTTGAAGCTAGAAGATCCTCTACGGTAGTCACAGATTGAGCTTACAAGAATAATCTTTCCATTCGTGCCTTGTCAAGCTTTTGTTCCGTGCCCAAACCTCAAAAGCCCCCACCCCCTGGCAGTGACCGAGCTGCGTTGAGGAAGCGGAAGAGCTTCACTGGAGTCATGGTCATGGAATATCTTTCGAAGTCGGTCAGGAGAACGAACAAAATCGAAACTCGCTCCACCCCTTGGCGTGGCCATGGCGAGCAGTGGTGAACACTGGGACCATCTGGGACCCAGCCCCGCCGCGAAAACGCCGAGGTTCTATCGCCGATGGCGTGGGACGGATTGCGTAAAATGCGCTTCACCAAAAATGGTGGTAGGATGGAATTGAACACCTCAGAATCGTTGCAGCATATTGCAGCAGAAGGATTTTTTTGGCTCAAGCCGGCAGTGAGAACTATGGGTTTGGCTGCAACCAGAATGCTGTCAACTTCCTTTCAGGTGCACTAAGTCCAAGCACTGCCACCTGGATTTGCAACCTCATTTCAGCGATTTACCTCGAAGATACCCCACATATGGATAAAATAATAGGCTGTATTACGGTATTAGGGGATATTGTCGGAATATTAGGGACTATTGGGACTAGTAGGTGACATAGTGAGATCTAAATAGATCTAATATACTAATAACATCTAATAACTTCCATTGTAGAGCCCATATGTCAGCTATTGTCAGCTCCATCTCCTTTCCCCACCGAGGCGCTGTGAACATCTTCGAACACATCTTACGGCGTTCCAACTCTTTCTGCGTCGCGGGCATCGCGGGGTCCGGGGGAGTCGGCTGGGGGTGCACCATGGCATACCATGGACATGTCCTTGAAATACACCAACTGGTCTCGTCAAGTTCATTGAATTTCTACATTTCTAGTCCAAGGATGTCCAAGGCCTTTTGCCTCTCAACTGGCATCACTGTAGGTTGGTTCGAAGAACTCCACAAATCAGCACTTTTCGCGACCCAATTCTGCTACCATCGCACCTCTGCTTGGCGGCGCTGTAGCTTTCCCAAGTGTTTCTTCTGCGCGATGGCGATCGTATTGACCACCAGCAGCGATAAGACTCCTGACATAGCACGCGGCATGTTGCGCTGGAACTGAATTCTGAAACCTTCAACAAAATGAACTTGAAAGTTGGAGGATTGTTTTCAAGTTCGCACTGGCCCCGTTGGGGTTCCATGTTGAAGATTTCAGGTTGTAGTATTGTCCTGAATCCTGAAGCGGTCACATCCAACCTCTAGGTGCGTTTAGTAAAGCCAGTGTCTTCCTTTGGCACCGTTCTCTTGTAGCAAAAACTACTGCAGATGGTGAATTCATAGGGCCCCAAATAGTCTGAAGAATTCGCTGTACTGCTATCAATCATTCCTCAAACAACTTCCCAGACAACCACAACTTCCGCCTACGGCTGTATCCAGGATCTGTTGACGAAGATGCACCTGGCGCTTTGGCAGGTGGTGCATCAGCTGCTTGGTGCAACTTGGTGCAACTTGGTGCAACTTGGTACGGTTCTTAAGTTATTTAGGGAGTCATCACCAAAAATGAGGATTCAACATGATTCAACCAGCACGTGGGGCTGGTTAACGCACATCAACAAGCTCAACGGTCGACCACGATCGTCCACGGTCGACCACGGTCGCCTCCGCGACGTCGGAGCTGCAATGGAAGAGGACGACGATCAAGTAGGACGAGTAGACCAAGGTCCTGCCAAAATCGTCCAAGGCACCAACAGCGAAAAATTCGACCAAACATGCGGATCTATGTGTGGAAGATCAATTGTAATTGCAGGAATGTCACTTTTAAAGCGTCCACAAAACCTAGAAAATCATCATCACATCCGAAACCGTTGCAGAAAGAGCAAAGTTTCCAAAGTCAGGTCCCCACCAGTCGCAGAGCCAGAATGCAGAACTTGTCCTTGATAAGCTGAAGATGATCAAAGTGGTCAAGGATGGGTAGTACATCACCTTAGCTGCATTTCTTTCAGTCCAGTGGAAAGTTACATTCCCCCAGACCTGGGATACCTGGGATATTCCACTGGGGGACCAGGCAGACATCAAGATGTAGATCATGTCGAAGTACAGCACCTGATATCCTCACGCGGCTGCGGTTCTCAAAGAAACCACAACCAGCACCTCTCCAAAGGCCATAAACACTGGGCCCTGTCAACCAAATCATCAAGATATATATATATATATATACGTATACGTATACGTATACGTATGTATATATATATATATATACTGTGTTTTGGTGGTGCTTTTGCGGTTTTTGAATTTTTGAACTTTCTGAGAGCAGCCACGATTTGGTGTTTTTGCGGTTTTGATTTTTTGAATTTTCTGAGAGCAACCACGATTTGGTGTTTTTTGCGGTTTTTGATTTTTTGAATTCTCTGAGAGCAACCACGATTTGGTGTTTTATATATTTAAATTATTATAATATATTCAGTACTTCAAGTGACCTATGGTCTTTCATGTCTGTCTCACATCAGACATCTTAAAACCCTGAACACATGAGGGGTTTGACATAACACCTTGGCACATGGAGATGTTTCGGACCAAGAGGCCGGTGATTTCCACAGACTCGTTCCAGGTCAACGTTGGATCGAATATCATTGGATCTGCTGCCACTAGAGAGATGAGCCTCGCTGGGTCCCAGTCAGCTCAACATCACGTGTTGCGTTACATCGGGCCGTCATCGTCATCCGACCATCAAAATTACGTACCCCCCCTCGGTTCCTGCAAACATCCGACCATCACCTGGCCACGCCACGACTTCATCCATGCTGCTGAGCAACGCATCAAAGCCCAAGATAACCAGATACAACCAGATCCTGCCACCAGGAAACATATCCACCCAGGATATCTGTAAGACATCAGAGGTTCCAAAATTGCTCAGTGAGTTCCATTGCTCAATCAGTGAGGAAATACGCTGGTACAGCACGTACATGCCAGGTCAAGACGCTGGGAAACCCGGGGTATGTTGCGTTTTAACACACCGTATGTGCTCAGAGCAACGCAGGATCAATGGAGAAATGAGGAAAGAATATATAGTTGTTCTTCAGAGTCATAATCTTGCTTTGCTCGGACATGAAACACATGTCGAATCATGTCCATCCTCAGAAATCTACCAATGTTTCTTTCCCTTCATCCAATGTTTACCTGCAACAATGCCCAAGCAATTTCCTCGGATATTTGATAACGTACAGCAAGATCGGCCACTCAATGGCGTAGGTGATGAGATACCTAGCCATTTCAATCCGCGCATCAAAAGAATCCGGATGAAAACTCTGACAATCCTGTTCTCCCCCCCCAGACTTCGTTGCAGCAAGTCAAAGGTCGCTTAAGGGCCTGAAGAACTCCTCAACCGTCAGGAACTACCCGAAATTCCATTCAAACCCTCCCAAACTCAGGATTCAAACTCAAACTGAGGATGTTCCAAATGTTCCAAAATTCCAAACTCGCCATGTTTTCAAGAACCACGAAAAACAACGAAGGTGGACAGCGCTGCGATGCTTCGCCGAGACACTGGACCCAGAGCGCCCAGGGATCCTTCAAAACGATCGCCGCCTGGGAGCATGGCCAACAATTGGAGATGTAATCGATGGACATCAATTGGTAATTCAAGATAAGCTATGGAAATCCTCCTTCAGATTGATCATCGAACTAAATGGACCATTTCTCCAGAGGTTTCTCTCAAGGGATCAAGGGCAACCATGGGTTTTACCACCAAATGCCAAGGGTTTCTTGTACTTTGTCCCTTTAACAAATTCTAGGATGTAAACTGGAAACATCGCAACAATTCTACTTTCCACACTATGTGACTATGTGCAATGTGAACCCTAGCAACTTGGGTATACTATAAGATATCAAATTCATCTGCAGAACGGATTGATGCGAAGATGCGAGGAAAAAGTTGCTGCGAAATTCAATGCTGGTGATGGAATATCTATGTCCAGTCCCGTTGGTTTCATATGGTTTCATCACCCAACCATTAGTAAGGGATCATCTCAAACCAACGAACTCCGTGACTGGTAGGAGATGTTCAACCCGATGGTTCATAGACTTCGTTGCAATAGAATGCATTAATCCGGGACCGTGGCTGACTGGACAGGCAAATTGCGAAGGTCTGGAAGGATAGGAAGATGTTCTCTATGAGGATGATGGTAGCACCTCGGGTCAGCGCGAACTCATTCCAGATTGAAACCTCTCGAGTATGTTTGGGGGATCCCAAACAGAAATCTGTCTGTCAGATGTTGCTTGTTAATTCGGGTGAGGGATCAAAAAATAAATATTTAAGGCATCAAAAAAATATATATATATATATTATATTGCCCTGGAATCCCTTGCTTTCTATGGCCCTTGCAACAGTTTGGAGAGAAAACCAAGCATTTCTGTGGTATTTGCATCGTTTTGGAAGTGGAACCTCTCGCCCGTAAGGTTTTTGCAGGACATTGGACCTAGAAATCGAGCATTCGCAGGGCTCGACGCTGCCGTTTCGACAGCACCTGCAACACTTTGGAGTTCGAATTTTTGATGTTCGATGGTTGCTTTGAAACTTACATTGGTTTAAAATTTGTTTATGTTTGGTTTGGGGGTTGATTTAGGTTTGGTTTGATGCGTATTACGTTGCCTTAGGTTGGTTTAGGGTTAGTTTAGGGTCTATGGTTTACTAGGTGTCTATTCAGGGTTGGTTTATCTAGGTTTCGTTCAAATATTATTCAAATTTATTTAAAGATATTTAAAGTTTTTTGGTGTTTATGTAGGGTTGGTTTAGGGTTTATTTTGATTTCGGTCAAGACTTTGTGGTTTAGGTTTCGTTTGGGATCTATTGAGGGTTGGTTGTTTGTTTATTTAGGGTTGGTTTAGGATTTGTTTAGGGTATATTTAGGGTTGGTTTTAGGGTTTGTTTAGGGTTGGTATTAAGATTTGTGTAGGTGCTGCTCAAAGTTTATTTAGGGTTGATTCAGGATGTATTTGGATCCCTATGAACATACACGGGAGGGGGTCCTGCAAGCCATTTTATAGACATAAAATGGTTTTCACTATAAAATGACTAGACACTGCTTATAAAATGAGTGGCCCCAACCCAAATGAAAACACTATATTTTGAGGGGGCCTGACCCCAGAACACCTTGAACTTGAACCACAAAATCTCTATAAAACGACTGGTTCCCTTTCCAAATGGTCAAGGCACAAGTCAACAGATTTCAGCCCCTCACTTAGAATCATACTATTTTCCCATTCCTTCATTTTGTTTCCAATGCCGCCCAGTGCCAACCCTGGCCTTTCAACGGGCCATTTTGGAATAGCGTGGGCTACTTGATTTCCAAGTGACGCCACCACAAAAAAGGCTAGCCTCAACCTTTCGACCCACCATGAAATTGGTGATTGAGACAGCATCTGCCGTCCTTTTGCATTCCTTGATTTTGCTTCCAATGCCTCCAAATGCCAACCCTGGCCTTTCAATGTGCCATTTTGGAATAGTGTTGGCTACTTGTATGATTTCCAAGTGCCACCACTATAAAATGGCTGGCCTCAACCTTTCAACCCACCATGAAATTGGTGATTGAGACAGCATCTGCCATCCTTTTGCATTCCTTGATTTTGCTTCCAATGCCTCCAAATGCCAACCCTGGCCTTTCAATGTGCCATTTTGGAATAGTGTTGGCTACTTGTATGATTTCCAAGTGCCACCACTATAAAATGGCTGGCCTCAACCTTTCAACCCACCATGAAATTGACGATTGAGCCAGCACCTGCCATCCTTTTGGGTTGAAATTGCCTGGAAAGCTGGGAATTCAACCCAATCACCAGTTTCATATTGGGTTGGTGGGTTGAGGCTAGCCATTTTGTAGCGGCTAGATTTGGGAAATTGTGCAAGTAGCCAACATTAAAACACAGTAGCCCATTGAAAGGCCATGGCTAGATAGCACAATGTGGGCTACTGTTTTATAATGTGGGCTACTTGCACAATTTCCCAAATCTAGACACTATAAAATGTAAAATGAGGGAATGCAAAGAGATGGTTTGCCCATCTTCCCTGAGCATGTCTTCAGAACTTGACATGGCACAGGGCCGGTCTCCTTTTCGGAGGTTGTGCCCCCACCCGAGGCATCTTTGATCAAATGATCAATGGCTGCGGATAAGAACCACCTGGATCATGACTGCACTGCAAAAACCTGAACAAATTTGGACAGATTTCAGCTACAACCCTAAAATCACTATAAAGTAGGGTGAGTGACCCCCTGAAGGAGCGCCGCTCCTTTCAATGGGCCATTTTGGAATAGTGTTGGCTACTTGTATGATTTCCAAGTGCCACCACTATAAAATGGCTGGCCTCAACTTTTCAACCCACCATGAAATTGACGATTGAGCCAGCACCTGGCATCCTTTTGGGTTGAAATTGTCTGGAAAGCTGGGAATTCAACCCAATCACCAGTTTCATATTGGGTTGGTGGGTTGAGGCTAGCCATTTTGTAGTGGCTAGATTTGGGAAATTGTGCAAGTAGCCCACATTAAAAAACAGTAGCCCACATTGTGCTATCTAGCCATGGCCTTTCAATGGGCTACTGTGTTTTAATGTTGGCTACTTGCACAATTTCCCAAATCTAGCCACTACAAAATGGCTAGCCTCAACCCACCAACCCAATATGAAACTGGTGATTGGGTTGAATTCCCAGCTTTCCAGGCAATTTCAACCCAAAAGGATGCCAGGTGCTGGCTCAATCGTCAATTTCATGGTGGGTTGAAAGGTTGAGGCCAGCCATTTTATAGTGGTGGCACTTGGAAATCATACAAGTAGCCAACACTATTCCAAAATGGCACATTGAAAGGCCAGGGTTGGCATTTGGAGGCATTGGAAGCAAAATCAAGGAATGCAAAAGGATGGCAGATGCTGCCTCAATCATCAATTTCATGGTGGGTTGAAAGGTTGAGGCCAGCCATTTTATAGTAGTGGCACTTGGAAATCATACAAGTAGCCAACACTATTCCAAAATGGCACATTGAAAGGCCAGGGTTGGCATTTGGAGGCATTGGAAGCAAAATCAAGGAATGCAAAAGGATGGCAGATGCTGTCTCAATCACCAATTTCATGGTGGGCTGAAAGGTTGAGGCTAGCCTTTTTTGTGGTGGCGGCACTTGGAAATCAAGTAGCCCACACTATTCCAAAATGGCCCGTTGAAAGGCCAGGGTTGGCACTGGGCGGCATTGGAAACAAAATGAAGGAATGGGAAAATAGTATGATTCTAAGTGAGGGGCTGAAATCTGTTGACTTGTGCCTTGAGCATTTGGAAAGGGAACCAGTCGTTTTATAGAGATTTTGTGGTTCAAGTTCAAGGTGTTCTGGGGTCAGGCCCCCTCAAAATATAGTGTTTTCATTTGGGTTGGGGCCACTCGTTTTATAAGCAGTGTCTAGTCATATTTAGGGTTGATTCAGGGTTTCTTTAGGGTTGGCTTAGGGGTTATTTTGGGTTGGTTTAAAGTCGATCTATGTAGGTCTTGTTTCCGGTGTCTTTCGGGTTGGTTTAGTGATATATTTCTGGTTGGTTCAGGGTTGGTTTAGGATTTATGTAGGGTTGGTTTGTGGTTTATTTGGGTTTGCTTAGGATCTATTTAGGGTTGGTTCGTGTTTGTTTAATACGTGTTCTTTAGGGTTTATTTACGGTTGGTTTATGGTTTTTAGGGGTGGCTTAGGGTTTATTTGGGGTTGGTTTAGGGATTATCTGCGATTGGTTTAAACTTGATTTTGGTTTCGCTTACAACTGATTTAAGGTTCGTTTAGGTTTCGTTTAGGGTTTACGTAAGATTTGTTTAGGGTTTATTTAGGGGCTGATTGAGGGTTGGTTTAGGATTCGTTTAAGACTTACTTTGGCTTGGGGGGTAGTTCAGGGGTTATTGAGGCTGATTTAGTTTTTTTTACGGCTGGTTGAATTAAGGCTTATCTTCAAAATGTTTTAAGGCACCAGAGCCACCAAGGGACGGAAGGACCAAGGGACCAGAAGACCAAAGGACCAAGGGACCAGAGGACCAAGGGACCAGGGGACGAAGGGAGAGGACTGAAGGACCGGGAGATTCAAAGACCACAAGATTTGAAAATTACATAAAAGGGCCAAAACACTACACCAGCGCAGGAAAATTGAATATGTTTTTTTGATGCCTTAAATATGTGTTTATTGATGCCTTAAATATTTATTTTTTGATGCCTTAGATATTTTTTGTTGAACCCCATACCGTTAAAAACGGTCTGGCTCACTACACTTACAGCAACCAAACAGAAAAAAAGAAGTTCCACAAAAATAGTGAGACATCATTGAGACATCTCTGTTCTATCCTTTTGGGACGGGTCATGACGGGTCCAGCCATGGAAGCTTTCGGAGCCCCCACAGCAGTGCAGCCATGGCACCAAACTTGATGTTTCGCTCTACCACTTCCCTCCGCCAGAGTCGGGTCCGCTCCAAGCGGCATGGACCGTCTCCTTGGATCAAATCAGCAACGGGGCGATTCAAGGGACAGCCGGAAGACTTTGTTTTTGCCCAGAAATTCTAGAGGCTTCCTGTAGTAGATTGATGTAGATTGTCCTTTTAATTCTGAACACCAAAGAAAAATAGGATGTTGGCAAGATGCTTAGTGGCATCCATAGATAGAAATGGATTTGGTGATGATTCCTTTCTGCCCTTAGAGCGTCACTACTTTTTTTCACAACAACTGGACTGGAGCCTCTTGGTTTCAAAGTCAATGTCACTGGTTGTTACAAAGGAACTTTGAAGCTGGTCGTATTGGGGTTCACATATGCATCATGTGCGGAAAGGAGCTTACTCGGAAAACACCCCTTCAAGGTGTGTATACTGTATATACTGTATATATAGATATCAGATATAGATATAGATTGATATATAGATATATGATATTATATGATTATATATGCGTGTCCCCTGGGACCAAATGAAAGACACAGCAACAGAGCCCGTCCGTTTGAAGAGTTCCACCACTGTCCCCAATATTGACCTACTTGATCCGGAGATGTGTCGAACCAAACCATACCAAACCCTCAGATCTCCATTCCAGATGTGTCGAGGAACTCGCATCGTTGTCAGAACCCCTCTCATCATCCAGCTGTCTGCAAATCCTGGAGATGGAGGGCAGTCTTTCTGAGACTTTTCTTGCCAGGCTCATTACATTTTTAGCACGAGCGAGTGAAGGGAAGGAACGGAAAGGATTCTATGATACGCCATGTGCACTTTAGAGGCAACACCTCTTCTTACTGTTGCCAAATCACGAGAAATCCATCAAGCAGCACCATGGTATGAAGCTGCCAGCACTTCTAAGCGACTTGTTATTTCGTACGACCTGCCAACATCACTCAGTGATCTTCACACCAAGTCACCCCATTGAAGAGCCTTCTGAATCGGACTCCTGGCCCAGCGCTGCTTAACCCTCTGCGAATCCAACACAGCAAGGGAAAACCCCAGCTTCAGGCTTCAGCGGCAAAATCATCTATGAATTCAACGGCAACTGGTGAATTTTCCTTTGCCAGGTTTCATTCAACAAGAAACGCAAGTTGGCGCCGGAGCCGGCCATACAGCAAATAGGTTAAATAGGTACCCGATTTCACTACTACCCTTGTCCAACCCCTTGTTGCCTTTCACTGTCAGGTCAATCCTATTGACGTTCATCTCGACATAGTCATGCGTTTATAGGCTCAGGCTATATAGGAACCGTGTTTTCAGGATAACGACATTGTCATTGTGGTTCCTTGGAGACGAAAAATATTTAACAATATTTAACAAAGCCCAATTTGTGAAAACTTCATTTTGTACTGCGTTTTTACAGTGTATTTTGCATTTTGATATGTTCATGCATCAAAGGAGTTGCCTGGTGTAGCTGGTGGACAGTTGTGAGATTTGTGCTTGGGTCCTTTCAATAGGATCCACTTCTGCACTGTCAAAATCACAAAAGATAGTGCTGGTCACCATCGCAACTGCAAGGTGTCTCCATGAATCTCTATTAACCAACATCGCATTTACAGCGGGTTTTGACGAAATTCTAATGGGGACACCACGAATCAACCAAAAAAATACTGAAAAAAAACTGATATAATTCATGTGTATGTACATAATCGATACACACACGCATACATAATGGCGGTGTTAGACTGGTTTTGCAGCGTTTTTCACCATAAACCACATACATGCAGGGTGGAAACACAATCACACGCCAACCAAGTACTACATTGGGCTTTGTCCCCCAAAGCGGGATGAAAACTGGAAATCCTTCAGGAAACCACTTTTGAAGCTTCACCAATCCATGTTGCTTCACTCGGCGAAGCTTCCATGATTTGATAGCTTCAATTCCGACTTTTTTGACACAAACTCAGAACTCTAATACTGGCATAAATATACTATATACGTTATATAGTACATCTATACATATACTATATATACACTACACACATCATCACACATCAATCACACATCAATCAGTGTATATCAAGAACCTGGATCCCGGCCTCACAGGAGGACTCGCTGCTGTCGGGCCCGCTGCTGCCATGATCCCCAAGCTCTTCTCGGAGCTAAATGTGATCAATGTGGGATGCAAACCAATGATTCAATGTCATAGAATTTCATCATCAACTCCAAAATATGTTTTTTTTTTTTGAAACATGTTCACTCCAAAATCTGGGGGAATGGTTGAAACATGTTCAAACCCCCGCCATAAAAATGGTCCCTTGGTTGGGGCTTTCCACATGAGAAGCTGAATGAATGGTGGTATCCAACAGGTGGGAACAATGGTATAATGATCAAGACCAGAGAGAGGTAACACTGGGGCCGTTGTCGCTGGTTTCAATCAATTACACTGGATCCAACCAGAAAGGACCACAAGAAGAGGCATATTTGACAAATAGTTCCAAAGGAAAGTATCAAAAAGGGATGCAGACGGGACATGTGGGACTTTTGGGGGAGCAGAGATTTTGCCCATTCTCACACAATTCAAAAAAAGTGAGATTCTTGGCCAATGTGAGATTGCCAAGCCAATTGTCCCTTAAAAGTTGGATTCCAGCGATTCCAGCTGTGACACAACTGTGGAGCCGTGGATTCCCCGGCCTCATCTTTCGGGCTCACATAGCCTTTTGGCGAAGAAGGAAGCAAGGTCATGGCAGCCGGTGCCGCATGCCACATGCACTGAGTGGACGGCTTGGGATTGGGAGGTGCGATGGCTGTGATAAAAGTGCCCGAGCACAGTCACGTGTCTCACCTACCAATGTTGGGCCTTTGACCAAAAAGCGCAGCTCGAAAATTCTGTCTGGGCGTGTGAAGGGGTGAAACGCCTTAAGTGAGACCTTCAAACGGCCGCGGGCAGGAACCGCTGGTGGAACCTTGTGTCCACCACGACTTGCAAAACCTAGCAGTTCAATGATGCAAAGTGAGTGGTTTCGCCGTCCCGCCCAAGAGTTTCACAATGCTTTTTAACACAAATTGAACGTAAAGTGAACAAGATGTGGTTTGAGAGGATGCTTTCAGTGAGCTATATAATTTATATAAGTACAAATCAATCTTTTCACCCAAAGCCCTTAGCCAGAGGCATTTCTTGTCAAGACATTATATTGTATACTCTGTATACTCTGTATACTCTGTATACTCTGTATACTCTGTATACTCTGTACGTATCTGCACGATTTGCACGCCAAGCAATCTAGAATCTGAATCTGGCCAACATTTGCCAGTTGGTTCAACCCTGAGTTCCCACAACTAGTCACCTGATTCTTCCGGTTTCCTGAGAACTGAAGTGATTCCCAACCCAGTCCCGTCAAGTCCTGGGGGGACAGTAGTGCTGGGCGAAGAATGCCTTGATCTTTGCGGCCAAGGTGTACTGCGCGGGCGCAGCATCACCGAATTTGTTCAAGCTCCCACGAGGAAGCAGGATATCATGATATCATCTATAGACTGTATAGACCCCAAATACATCGAAAAGTTGCAAAAGAAATAAGGGAACTATCATCTACCAAATCCTGGAAAAATCGATGCTGTCTTGCTGGCATCTAGGGACCTCTGTACTGTCTGGAAGTATGAATACCCTTAAGGAATAACCAATGTTCGCCCTCCAAGTAGTAGATCGAAACGGTTGGAATGTTTTGAGCATTGCATTAATCCAATCATTTTGACAGTGTTGATGCATCCTCCATATGCGTGTGGGCGAAAATTGGCAATACCCAAAAATTGTCAATGGTGAAAATGATGAAGACCAAGCATAATCATTTGATTTTTTGGAGGTTTCCCCTGGTTTTCCCATCAATTTTCAGACAAGGCCCTCTCATGGCCTCATTAGTACTGCGCAGGGTTTGCACATTGCCCGTGTGGAAGCGAATCATCGGCTTCTCCTAAGCGGGGATGGAGAAGTAACCAATAATTTAATAATGGAGTACATGTTATCTAAACCCAATAATAAACAAAAATGTACTCCATTAAAATGGGTTAAATAAAATGACCATAAATGGGTTGTATAAACAATCTTAAACAATCCCCAAATACTAGGTCTATCATTGGGTTTACCACATGATTGGGCAACCAATGAGGCTAAACAAAATCGTCGGAGGTTTGCCATGGGAAATTGATCACAAGCATCCCCCAAGTTTGATGTTGCAACTTATTCACCTTAAATCTCATCTAGTTGCCATGCTATCCCCAAGCCATGTTCTCAGGAGTTGAGGCAAAGAGTCTGCGGCCATCAGGTTGATCAAACTCTCCACCCGCCATTCTTGGCTCTTGCGATTCTTGTTGTGTTCGCTGTCCACAGCCTGCACCTGCGAGTCGAACGGCCCTTGCCCCCCCCCAAAAAAAAAGAGAGAGCGGGGGACTGTGGGAGTGCGTTTTTGTGTCAGTTTTACAGTATGTTGTTGGTCCTAGTTACTAATTCTTCATACACATCATCATGGCTGAGTAGACATGGGTCAACCACTCATGGACCTCCGTGGGTTTGTTTTTGTTCCATTGGGTTTTGAAAATGTTGGGCAGAAGTTGGAGAAACCTCGAGAAAACCTATTAATTTCTTCAATGCTGTCTGCACATTGCTCTTCCGCTTTGGCATCCAACTCAATATACAAAACACAATAAAACAAGTCAATGAAGGTCCATGATTGGTTGAGACATAGGGTTGCTTTTTGTTTTTTGGTCTGGATGCCAAAGCAAAAAAATGATTGTGTTTTATGGTTGTGCCAATGAAGAATATATATATACATATGGTTTGTGGTCAGAAACAGACAAGGTCATTAAACTAAGTCATATGCAGAAAAGTTGCACTCCCACAGTCCCCTGTTCTTTAAAAAAAAATGTACCTGGTGATGGAAACAAACATTGCGACAATCATATCATCTACAATCCCACCTTTAATGAGCTGATACATGTTGATACCACTTTTAAGTGTCATCCTTAGATCTTAAACTCAGCACGTCCTCCGTTCCACGTGCACCGCCTCGTCCCACACCCAGGAGGCGTTGAAGGTGGGCTGGGAGAAGATGTCGGCATAGCGCTGCATCGCTCCCGCGAGCGCCTCACAGGGGGCACCATGCCATGGATGGGTCACAATCGGTCACAATCTATGATTTTCTGGATGATTTTCCATGATGTTCTATAGTTTTCCATGATTTTCCATGGTCTTTTCCATAGTTTTGGATGATTGTCCAAGATGGATCAAGATGGGATGAAAATCCATAAGTACCTGCTAGTTTGATGTGAACTATAGGGCACGAGCTCTTTGATCCATGGATTCCATGGCCAAAATTGGCATGTGTCAAGGCAGGTGCCGAAAATGCCGAAGGTTTGCCATGGGTTTTACGGCAATCGAATGTGCAAAAATTTGCTGGTGAAATATGTGAAATAAATCATGACCCATCAGCCCTCCCAAGGTCAGGGTGCTGAAGTGGTCGCACCTTCCCACTCACTGAAGCGTAGAAGACAGTCTGTTCCTGTTAGTTCGAAAGTTCAAGTTGACGCCACATGGTCTAAAACTGGAAATCATTTGCCCTGACACAAGGTCGACCAGGAAATGGTCGATGTGGAAACACCAAATGTTTGCAGTATTGCTGATGACATCCGCAATAGTTTGTCGATTGTGTCCCGGACCAACATGGTCAGACTGTGTCAAACTCCAGTACCCCCTTTTCACACCGAAATAGCTGCTTGTCCATGGATGTAAACATCTCCCCCATTCACAAGGGAGAATCAAAATGAATCAAATAGGTTTAGGATGGATGCTTTGGACATGTTTTGACCCATTTCCTGTTAGCTGAATGGCTCCAAAATGGTCAAAACCTACCCTGGGAAGCACAAAAATGGCTGGTAGATTCTGGTAGACTTATGTAGACTTAGACATATAGACATATAGATGTTCATGTTCATTCCCTTTCTATCCAGTAGGTGGTGCCCCATCAGAAAATATCTAGAATCTAGTCGCATCGTGGAACATCCCCACCTCAGCAGTGTAGGCATTGGAACTTCCTCCGTTCTGCGCAAGCCAAGCATCAAAACCTGACCTGCGGATCAGAAAACACCCAACGGCACCCACTAAACCTCATCAGAGTCTGGCTTGAACATTGCAACATTCCCTATTTTTTCCAACGCGTGAGCCATAGACTACAGGAATCTACGGCTGATTTGTTTTCGTCTTATCCGCCATATCCCACCCATCCAGTGCCTCTCTGGGAAGTTCTGGGAACCGAGAAACATAGAATGCTCCAGCAAATGTGCCAAACCATCAAAGCCCTGGCGTGTGTGGGTCAAAACTGAGATGGTCTACCAAAAATTGATGAAATATATATATATAACGAAAAATTCTAGTGCCGGCTCGAATTGGGACACACAACTGTAATAAATCAGTGGCTGCAAACTGCAATCTCTCAGGGGTCTTTGCCAAACTAGGGAAATCCCGTGAAATCCCATTCACCCTGTCATGCTCCATCCTATATACAACCCTCTTTCAGATTGCCCAAGCTTCATTTTCTTGTCATCCCTCGCGGCCTCGGGATCAGAGAAAGAGCCGACCGTCACTGCCACAGCTACAGCCGCCTGCGCAGTGGAGCGCACCCTACATGAACACCTTCCCTGACATCTATTGGGCGCTAGAGTGCCATCACACGCTATGACCAAGCCTCTGAGGAAGAGTTTGAAACGGAAGATCCATATCATCCAAATGAGATCATTTTCCTTGGAAACCTGCCATTTACCCAGCTTTTTCTGACATTCCAGAGCACATGGAGCTCCAACCATCGGCCTGGGTGGTGTTGGGATCCACAATATTCACCACGCGCAGACCATTCTCCAGCACACTATGCCTGACTGGATGTCTTCCGAGTCACCAGGAATTGCGGTTTCAACAGAAATGACAAGTGGGGAACTGAGCCGCTGGGATATCACCATTCAACGGTTGAGCATCTCCCTCTGGTGACGATCTTTGCTCTGATGACCCATCCTATCCAAGTTGACTATGCTGACATCCGCAGTTCTATCTACCTATCTTTGGGTTCTAGCCTGTAATTTATCCATTTTATCATTTTTGAAAACCCTCTCATCTCAACGATTGCTGGCTACATCCCCATAGTTCAGTTGTCAAACCCTTGCGGAAGCTGTCGGAACAGGAGCCAAGCTGGCAATCCTGTGGCCCACCGCACACCAAGTGCTAAATCCCTAAATTCTATAATATTCTTCGCCAACAAATTGGAAAAGCGGTGTTTGCGATGCTAACTTTCGCGACCTATGGGTTGTAGCCGAAATGAATTTTCGGTTTTGGTATTTATCTTGGCAGGTCTGGCACATGCGTGAGCCATACCCTAGATGCACATTGGGGTTGTCAAGAAAAAATGCAAGCAAACCGATCAGTGTCAACGCCAGCGCCCTCTCTCAAAAAACCTATGAGCATAGAATAAAATTAAAAAAACATATTTTATTATTTCCCAAAAAAATAATTTAAATGAATAGGAATCAAAACAAAAAACATTAGGAAAAAAACAAAGACAAATTGGAAAAAAATAAAAACAAAAAAATAAACAAAAAACAAAAACACATGAATAAATTTAAAAAATAAAAATAAAAAGAGATAGAATTAAAAATGACCAACAACCCAAAATAATGAAAAGATAAAAATAAAAAGAAAGTAAAACAATAAATCAACAAAACGAAAATGAAACCGAAAAAGATAAATACATAAAACAAGATGCAGCCCACAAACCCGAATGCTCACACGTATGTTAATGGTACAGATGTCAAACACATGGAAATGCAATCACGCAAAACACTTTTCTGCAATAGTTTATGTGAACAGTCTTGTACATATTTCCCCCGTTACCAGTCTGCAGTGTGGAGTGTGGAGTGTAGCGTGTGGAGTGTAAAGTGTAGAGTGTGGAGTGTAAAGTGTGGAGTGTGGAGTGTAAAGTGTAGAGTGTGGAGTGTAGGGTGGAAAGTGTAGAGTGTGGAGTGTGGAGTCAGGAGTCTAAAGTGTAAATTGTGGAGTGTGGAATTTGGAGTGTAAAGTGTGGAGTGGGGAGTGTGGAGTCGAAAGTGTAGAGTGTGGAGTGGAAAGTGGAAAGTGTAGTGTGGGGAGTGTGTAGTGTAAAGTGAGGAGCGTGGAGTGTGGAGTGTAAAGCGTAGAGTGTGGAGTGTGGAGTGGAAAGTGTAGAGTGTGGAGTGTGGAGTGTAGCGTGTGGAATGTAAAGTGTGGAGTAAGGAGTGTGGAGTGTGTAAAGTGTAGATTGTAGAGTGTGGAGTGTAGTGTGTAAAGTGTAGAGTGTGGAGTGTGGAGTGAGGAATGTAAAGTGTAAACTGTGGAGTGTGGAGTGTGGAGTGGAAAGTGTAGAGTGTGGAGTGTGGAGTGTGAAGTGTGGAGTGTAAAGTGAGGAGTGCAGAGTGTAAAGTGTGGAGTGGGGAGTGTAAAGTGTAAAGTGTGGAGAGTAATGTGTGGAGTGTGGAGTCCGCTGTGTAAAGTGTAGAGTGTGGACTGCAAAGTGCAGAGTGTGGAGTGTAAAGTGTAGTGTGGAGTGTGGAGTGTAAAGTGTAGAGCGTGGAGTGTAAAGTGTCGAGTTTAAAATGTCAAGTGTGGAGTGTAGAGTGTAATGTAAAGTGTCGAGTGTAAAGCGTAGAGTGAGGAGTGTGGAGTGTAAAGTGTGGAGTGCGGAGTGTAAAGTCTCGAGTGGGGAGTGAAGAGTGTAAAGTGCAAAGTGTAAAGTGTGGAGTGTAAAGTGTAGAGTGTGGAGTTTGGAGTCTAAAGTGTAAATTGTGGAGTGTGGCGCGTAAATTGTAGAGTGTGGAATGCGGAGCTTCCCCCATAGACAAGACACGGGAAAAAATCAGAGACTGGAGACGAGACACGTGGGTGCAGAAAAACGAGCATTTCGTGCGAGACCTCCTCCAATTTTGACATTTTCGACGCGTTATCAAACAGGTTGGAATGTCACAAAGTGCCACGCCTGCCACGCAAAACGACATGACAACCTGCCTGGAAACCTTCGAAAAGGAGATATTTTGCAGCTTCCCCCTTAGACACGGTGACGCCACAGGAAAACCAGAGACTCGAGACAAGACACGTGGGTGCAGAAAAACGAGCATTTCGTGCGAGACCTCCTCCAATTTTGACATTTTCGACACGTTATCAAACAGGTTGGAATGTCACAAAGTGCCACGCCTGCCACGCAAAACGACATGACAACCTGCTTGGAAACCTTCGAAAAGGAGATGTTTTGGAGCGAGGCGAGACACGTGGGTGCAGAAAAACGAGCATTTCGTGCGAGACCTCCTCCACTTTTCACATTTTGTAGCTTCATAATCGACGTTTTCCTACGAGGTTTCCTAGGAACCTCTAAATTTTGCTACTTCAAAATCAATGTTTCGTGCGAAGCTTCCGTCCATTTTTTTACAAAAAACACGCAACACGATACGTCTAAAGTGCTGCGCCTGCCACGAAAAATGACGATGGACACGTCCAAAGTGCTGCGCCTGCCACGAAAAATGCAACACATCTTCTGAAAACGTCGCAAAAGTATTGCGCCTGCCACAGAAAACGACTTTCGACACGTTACAATTACAAAACACGTCTGAATGTCACGAAGTGCCACGCCTGCCACGCGAAACGAAGCAACGACGCATTGGAAACCTCCAAAAATGACCACCTCTGCAGAACTTCCCATAGGCACGGCCATACGGAGTTCGTACGAAGGTGCGGAAGACGGTTGCGGACGGTTGCGGACGGTTGCGACCACAAACGCAACGTCGAGCGAACACAACCTCAACCCCCAGAGTGAAAAACGGGAACCCTTGCTACGCATTCGGGAAGAGAACAAAAAAAAGACAATATTATTTCAAAAAAAAACAAAAAAATAAAATCCCAAAAAAAAAAAAATCCCCCCCAAAAAAAAAAAACAAAAAAAATAAAATCCAAAAAATGAAATATAAAATCAAAAAACCAAAAAATAAATCCCCCCAAAAAAATAAAAATCCCCCAACAAAAATCCCAAAAAAAATTACTTTACTTCGTGTGATCCCCACCATGAATTTATACATTTTCTTACTGGCAAATCTTGAGGCATTCTATCTGACATATCTTTGGCATATTTCTGGCATATGTTCTGGCATTCTATCTGGCATATCTTCTGGCATTCTATCTGGCAAATCTTTTGGCATTCTATCTGGCATATCTTCTGGCATCTAACATATCTTCTGGCATTCTATCTGGCATTCTATCTGGCATATCTTCTGGCAGATCTATCTGGCATATCTTCTGGCATATCTTCTGGCATTCTATCTGGCATATCTTCTGGCAGATCTATCTGGCATATCTTCTGGCATATCTTCTGGCATATGTTCTGGCATTCTATCTGGCATATCTTCTGGCATTCTATCTGGCAAATCTTTTGGCATTCTATCTGGCATATCTTCTGGCATTCTATCTAACATATCTTCTGGCATATCTTCTGGCATTCTATCTGGCTTTCTACTTTCTTCTGCACATTCTTTGACCATATCTTCCTACATGAGGTCCGGCAGGGAACACTGGGCGGGATACTCGTGGTTGAGGTCCGGCAGGGAACACTGGGCGGGGATGGTCGTGGTTGAGGTCCGGCAGGGAACCCTGGGCGTGGATGGTCGTGGTTGAGGTCCGGCAGGGAACACTGGGCGTGGATGGTCGTGGTTGAGGTCCGGCAGGGAACACTGGGCGTGGATGGTCGTGGTTGAGGTCCGGCAGAGAACACTGTCACCGAGGGTCGCAGTTGAGCAGGAGGAGGAGGACGAGGAGGAGGCAGGAGGAGGCAGGAGGAGGCAGGAGGAAGAGGAGGCAGGAGGCAGGAGGAGGACGAGGAGCAGGCAACTTAGATAAAATCTAACAACCCTCACCTGGCAGGTGGGGAATAAAATCAAAAAAAAACCAAAAAAACAAAAAAAATAAAATCCCCCCCAAAAAAAAATCCCAATTTTTTTATTTTGTTTTTTTATTTTTTTGGGGGGGGGGATTTTTTTGGGGGGGATTTTATTTTGTTTTTTGATTTTATTTCATTTTTGGGATTTTATTTTTTTTTGATTTTTTTGGGGGGATTTTTTTTTTTGGAGGGGGATTTTATTTTTTTGGGGAATTTTATTTTTTTGTTTTTTTTAATATATTATTGTCTTTTTTTTGGTTCTTTTCCCGAATGCGTAGCAAGGGTTCCCGTTTTCACTCTGGGGGTTGAGGTTGTGTTCCCTCGACGTTGCGTTTGTGGTCGCAACCGTCCGCAACCGTCCGCAACCGTCCGCAACCGTCCGCAACCCTTCGTACGAACTCCGTATGGCCGTGCCTATGGGAAGTTCTGCAGAGGTGGTCATTTTTGGAGGTTTCCAATGCGTCGTTGCTTCGTTTCGCGTGGCAGGCGTGGCACTTCGTGACATTCAGACGTGTTTTGTAATTGTAACGTGTCAAAAGTCGTTTTCTGTGGCAGGCGCAATACTTTTGCGACGTTTTCAGAAGATGTGTTGCATTTTTCGTGGCAGGCGCAGCACTTTGGACGTGTCCATCGTCATTTTTCGTGGCAGGCGCAGCACTTTAGACGTATCGTGTTGCGTGTTTTTTGTAAATCGCATTGGCAGGGCTGCGTCAAGTGGCGACAAGGTGCAAATTTCGTGGCAGGCGTGGCATTTTGCGACATGTGCTGAAAATGGACGGAAGCTTCGCACGAAACATTGATTTTGAAGTAGCAAAATTTAGAAGTTCCTAGGAAACCTCGTAGGAAAACGTCGATTATGAAGCTACAAAATGTGAAAAGTGGAGGAGGTCTCGCACGAAATGCTCGTTTTTCTGCACCCACGTGTCTCGCCTCGAGTCTCTTGGTTTCCTGTGGCGTCGCCGTGTCTTTGGGGGAAGCTGCAAAATATCTCCTTTTCGAAGGTTTCCAAGCAGGTTGTCATGTCGTTTTGCGTGGCAGGCGTGGCACTTTGTGACATTCCAACCTGTTTGATAACGTGTCGAAAATGTCAAAATTGGAGGAGGTCTCGCACGAAATGCTCGTTTTTCTGCACCCACGTGTCTTGTCTCGAGTCTCTGGTTTTCCTGTGGCGTCACCGTGTCTAAGGGGGAAGCTGCAAAATATCTCCTTTTCGAAGGTTTCCAGGCAGGTTGTCATGTCGTTTTGCGTGGCAGGCGTGGCACTTTGTGACATTCCAACCTGTTTGATAACGTGTCGAAAATGTCAAAATTGGAGGAGGTCTCGCACGAAATGCTCGTTTTTCTGCACCCACGTGTCTCGTCTCCAGTCTCTGGTTTTCCTGTGGCGTCACCGTGTCTAAGGGGGAAGCTCCGCACTCCACACTCTACACTTTACACTCCACACTCCACATTTTACACTTTAGACTCCACACTCTACACTTTACGCTCCACACTTTACACTTTGCACTTTACATTCCTCACTCCTCACCTGAGACTTTATACTCCACATTCCACACTTTACACTACACTCTACACTTTCCACTCCTCACTCCTCATCTGCACTGTACACTTTACACTCCGCACTCTGCACTTTACACACCACACTCCACACTTTACACTACACACTCCTTACTCCACACTCCACACTTTACATTTTACACTACACGCTCCACACTCCACACTCTACACACCACACTCTACGCTTTCCACTCCACACTCCACACTCCACACTCTACACTTTACACTCCACACTCCACACTTTACACTTTACACTCCGCACTCCACACTCTACACTCCACACTCCCCACTTTACACTCCACACTCCACACTCTACACTTTCCACTCCACACTCCGCACTCCACACTCCACACTTTACTGTACACTCCACACTCCACACTTTATACTCTACACTCCTCACTCCACACTTTACACTTCTCACTTTACACTCCACACTCCACACTCTACGCACCACACTCTACACTTTCCACTCCACACTCCACACTCTACACTTTACGCTCCACACTCCACACTTTACACTCCACACTTTACACTCCACACTTTACACTCCTCACTCCAAACTCCACACTTTACACTCCACACTTTACACTCCTCACTCCACATTTTACACTCCACACTCCTTTCTTTACACCCCACACTTCACGCTCCATACTTTCCACTCCACACTCCACACTTTACATTCCACACTTTACACTCCACACTTTACACTTTACACTTTACGCTCCACGCTTTTCACTTTACACTCCTCACTCCACACTTTACACTCCACACTCCTCACTCCACACTTTACACTCCTCACTTTAAACTCCACACTTTACACTCCACACTTTACACTCCTCACTTTACACTCCACACTCCGCACTCTACACTTTACACTCTACACTTTACACTCTACACTTCACAGTCTACAATTTACAAACTCCACACTTTTCACTCCTCACTTCAAACTCCACACTTTACACTCCACTCCACACTTTACACTCCTCACTTTACACTCCACACTCCACACTTTGCACTTTACACTCCTCACTCCACACTCTACACTCTACACTCCACACTCCACACTCTACACTCCACACTCTACACTTTACACTCCATACTCCACACTCTACACTTTACACTCCGCATTCTACACTTTACACACTCTACACTCCCCACTCCACACTTTACACTTACTTCACACTCCACACTCCACACGCTACACTTTCCACTCTACACTGCAGACTGGTAACAAGGGAAACATGTACAAGACTGTTCAAATAAACTATTGCAGAGAGGTATTGTGCGTCACTGCATAACCATGTGTTTTGACATCTGTACCATTAACATACGTGTGAGCATTAGGGTTCGTGGGTTTCATCTTGTTTTATTTGTTTTCTCCCATTTTCTTTTGGACATTATTTCTTTGTTTTGTAAATTATGCTTCCCTTTAATTGTATTTTGTTTATTTATTGATTCCATTTATTTATTATTCTAATTCCATTTGGCTTTTTTTTGCTAGTTTTTTTTGTTTGAGACGGGGGTAGTTTACATGTTCAAAACAAAAAAATGTTGCAATGTAAGGTTTGATTCCATGCTTGACACCAAATCTTTATAGCTAGTAGATTCTTGCATCTGCATCAATTAACGCCAAAAAATATAAATACATCACATCGGTTTCCAGAACCTATATTCCATTATCGCATATACCCAAAGATAAATACCAAAAACCACCTGAACCGCATATAGGTTGTGCAAGTTAGCAGTTTGCGATCACAAGTTTTTGGAGATTCCCAAACGCCCCCATGTATCAGCTACCGACTGGTATACCTTGTTGCATGGAAGCCAAAGATATGGTACAACCATAGGAGATCCCAAGTTCGCAACTAGGGCCCATTCGGGTCCGGCCCGAAATGATTGCCTCTGGATGATTTAGTACAGTCTTGGACCAAAAAATACCGGCCATTTGTGGATCCAGAATGGTACCAAAATGACTTTGTGTCATAGCCCAGGCTTTGCTGGCTGACTTTTACTAAATCAAAATCACAATTTGCGCTGGTTTTCTCAGGTTATTCTCCCTATTTCGCTAGTTGAAACTGGGTTCCCAACTGATACTGCCGCGGATCACCTTTGGGCTTCTGCAGCAAAGGTTCTGGAGCCTGGAGACGTCACAATAAAAACGTGGGGTTTTGCAAACAAAAAATGGAGGTTTGATGGGTTCAACCCAGGAAGAATTGCTACTCGGCCATGAGAAATTCAGATTTCATCAAGAAGATTCGTGGTATTTGGCAAAGGCAAAGTAGGATTCGCCCACGGATTTAAAAACAAACAAAAGACAACACATGGAGGTTTTCTTAAAATCGGTGCACCCCCAAATCGTCCAGTCATTAGAATCATTAGACCATGATGAAATTGATTGGAACAGCCATGGAGACGGCTCCAAAACACCAGCGACCTGGCCAGCCTCAATTTCTTCTGTTGTCAATATCCCTGGCGGCCTGGGCAGGGTTTATCCCAGCCATTGATGATAAATTTGGTATGGTTTACTATAGTTTTACTGTCGCTAATTAGTAACAATAATGGTTATAATGTGTTATAATAATAGCAATAATAACAAAATATTGCGAATAGTTCAGTTGTGTGACGATTGATAAATCAATTCATCGAGGGAGAACTACAGCAAAAATGACAATTCTCATGCATATCTGACATGTGTGACCATTGATTCACATTAGGGGCTACCACTACTAATTTTCCAAGATTATGGTTCGTATCCCCTGATGTGAAGTAATGGTTCGTATCAACTACTAGAATTCAATTAGAATTAGAATATTCAACCACTAATAGTGCTATTCTAAGATTCATGTACGACCCGGGCTGAGCTGTTCGCGGCTCCACCAAAGGCAGCGCCAAGCACTGGATGCACACTGGAACCTCGCCCAGCGGATCCATCCGGTAGTGGTACTCTGTGTGTGTGATATTGCCATGGGAAATCCTAATTGCCATAGGAAAAAAATTGGGATGATCATCATGAATCATCCATAAATGGTTGATTGTCCAGCTTGGGAGGAACTGGAAATCATTCCCACTAGTGTTTGTTGGGTTTCAATCTCCACAGGTGCAAGGCACTCAAAACTGGAATGGTTCAGAACTCTGGGTTGCAGTGGAACCTTGAACCGCTGGTTACAAGGCTGGATAGGTGACATCATTCCCAAGTGGTGATATCATCCCAGTTAATGGGATATAATCTGAACAGTCTTCAAAATGGATGATGATAACCTACAATATTATATCCAAAGTATATAAAATGACAAAATCAATAAACAAATTAAATATATATACAACAACAAAATAACATAGAATAAAATAAAATATAATACAATATGTTATGATATTATAATATAATACAATACAGTACCATACAATGACCATATAATACAATGCAATACAACATAATACGTATATTTAAATAACACAACATGAAATACAAAAAAATAGAAATAACATTAAAAAAAAATGCAATATAATATGATATGATATGATGTGATATAATACAATACACTACAATACAATACAATACAATATACAATGCAATACAATATAGTATATACAATGCGAATATAATATAATACATAATAATCTAAGCAAGTATTTAATATCATACAGTAAAATAAAATACAATACAAAAAGAAAAATACACTTTAATACAACTTAAAACAATACAATACAATACAATATAATACTAATATAATACAATAAACAATAATACAGTATAATACAATACAATACAATATTATAAATCATGATAAAATATAATAATATATTTTATAATATATTAAATGATTATATGATACAATAAAATATAGTATAGTATAATACAATGAAGTAAAAAAAATATATGTAATACATATATAATGAAATAACATATAATATGATATAATATAATCTCGTTCAATATAATGGAATATAATTTATCAAAATAAAGCAATGATTTAATGAAACAAAATATTCTCATGTAGTATAATATAATTGAATTCAATTTAATATAATATAATGTAATGTAATGTAATATACTATAATATAATATATTATAATGTAATTAAAGAAAACATATAGTATAATACAACATAATTAAAGATGATAAAATAAGATGCCATAAAATAAGATAATTAAGGGTAACATACGATAATAACCAATAATACAAGAGAAAAAAAAAAGAAAATATCAGATAATACAAGAGAAAAAAGGGAAAGCAAGGTAATAAAAGATCAAATAAGATAATAAAGGATAATATAATATCAAAAAAGATAACATAAGATCATATAAGATAATACAATATCAGATGAGATCATATAAGATAATATTTTTAAAAAGATAAGATAAGATAAGATAAAATGTAAAGATAGTATAATACAACATAATTATAGAGGATAAGATAAGATGCGATAAGATAAGATAATATAAGATAATACACGATAGTAAAATATCAAAAAGATCATATAACACCAAATAAGATCATATAAGATACTAAAAGATAATATAAGATCAAAAAAGATACTAAAAATAATATAAGATAAAACAAAATAATATAAGATAATATAGGATAATATAAGATACTAAAATATAGATATAGATATATATATATAAGATAGTACAAGATAATATAAGATAATATAAGTAGTATAATATTAGATAAGATAGGATAAGATCAAATAAGATGAGATAAGATAAGATAAGATAAAATAATATGGTATGAAATAATTTACAGATACATATACACATACACAAACACATACACATACATATACATATACGTATACATTTACCTCTACGTATACGTATACGTATAGGTATACGTATACGTATGGGTATATGTATACGTATACATATTTGTATTCGTATTCATGCATTTTTGGGTAGTGTAATCCCCTATTAACCAATTAGCCAGGGTTGTGGTCACTGCGCATCTGGTAGACCCCATGGTATCTGGATTTCATCCCATTTCCAAGTTCAGACCTGCTCCAGTACTGGGTGTGACTCACACTGATAGAAAATATAGAAACAACCTGTGTTCAGGATGCTAATTGTACGGGAAACGACCTCAAATCGAACAAAAAGCTATTTTTGTGGTCAGTTGAAAGCATAAAAAAAACAGCAGTTTCCGATCCATCTCCTCGACACAAACACTGCAAAGTTTGAGGCAACCCACCAGGGCGTACCAGAAAGTCATGGAGCAGCTGAAAACCTGCACATTGCCCCCACGGCCAAGTCGTTTCTGGTGGCTTTGATGGTCATTGCCCCCATCCAATCCATACAGCCATCAGTCGAGACCACCGGCCTTTGATCAGCTATGGCCTGAAGATAGACTGGTAGCACCTTGGTCATAGCAATTCAGCAAAACAACAAGCTTGGACAATTGGACAATCACACGCAATCGAACAACGCTGTTTGATTTTTTGGACACTTGGAAAATCAAACACACACACACACAACACACACATATTATATATATATTACTTATTGTGATGCCTGTTGATGACCGATGTTTTATGCTATCCAAACTATCCAAACATGTCAAATAGACCCAAAAGAGCAAAAGCACAGAGCATTTGCATGAATTTCACAAATTGAATCAACCCAGCAAACACAACAAAACATGCCAAACCAATTTACTGCAAATCAGGGCGCGTGACTTTGAACCACAGCAGAAAATACCAGAAAGTCAGATTGGAAACACACAACAAACAATTGGGAGCATTGAATGCCCCAACTTGGCTTCAGCTGAACGTGACAGAAACTGCGAAAATGCCCAAATCCTAACCCGATCAGAAGTGTGTTTCCTTGGGTACCCTGCGCCATGCGCCAGCCATGAACACTTGGCAAGCACAAGCGGAAACCCACCACCAGCTAAAAATGTTTTGCGGACACGAAGGACACTCATCAACTATCATCAGATTCTGAGGGAAAGAACTGGATGACTAATGTGCAATTCCTTTTCCTGAGCCTGTCGCGTGAAAGACATTTCTTCACGTCAACCTCTCTATTATAGACCACGGATTTCAAGGCAAGTTTGTTGCTGTCCGGTCCTTTCCAGCGCTAGTCAACTTGGACATGGTTTGAGTGCTTTGATTCAAGCCACTGTTACTGTCTTTGACCCCATCCGGCCCTGTAAAGATGGATCCCTTGATCCAAGGGATCAATCTTTACAGGGCCGGATGGGGTCAAATGGTCGCCCCAATGCGCGAAAGGACTTAAAGGCGCCGCAGTGGCAGATTTCAATGCGTTGCCTGGCGCAACGCACAATAGGAACAAGTTCTCAAGGCGGCAAACACCACATGTTTTGCTGGCAAGGTGTCATCAGAATTGCACAAACGGGAGCCAGCCATGAAACACTGGAGGTGAACAAGACTTGGGACGATATCACCGAATGTTGGAGAATTGATGATACCCCCAGGTTTTTCTCGCTGATTTTTTGTTTTAGCAACCTCAAGAAAGATGCCCAAGTTAGCAACTTCACCCCATTCTATTTATATGTATGTATATATATATATATAATTACATATATATATAATAACACACATATATATAGAGAGAGAGAGTGAGAGTGATAAATTGAACCTGGTCTCTATACATATATACATATATATATGTATATATATATAATGTGTACAACTGTGTATATATACATATATCATATATATATATAAATTGAAGCTAAACTACCTTCGGGGGTTCCTGTATCCCCAGCAAATTTTCCCGCCGTGTCCGCCTCTTGCAGGAAGACCGTCCAGGTCTAAAAAGCTCCTCAAAGCGTGCAGGACGTTTTGACCATCCAAAAGATGGGGAATCCTAAGGTTAATTACTAACATTGGAAGCCGCATATATCAAAAGGGACTAAGGTTACTAGTGTATTAATTACTAAGGCTAAGGGTGTATTATTTGATTGAGGCGAAACTTCACAATTGCAATTATTTACGGCGAATTGGCATCTATTATTGGTGCTTTGGGGGTTTAGTTAAATCCCGATGTGTTTTTTTGTTTTTGGGATACCATAGATGGAAATCTTGTTTGGCTGTCTCTGAAGATGGGGAAATGCACCCCCAAACAGCCATAGTCATAGGGAGAATGATGATAAACCTTTCTAATTGGGGATATTCTCAGACACACCCATATACTTTCAGACTTGTCTCATTCACAGTAGAATAGCTTACTTCTGGTAATCAAACAGAGTTTCCAGAATGTTTCTTACCATTTCTTCCCCCTACCCCCGTTGTCACCTTGTAACGGCTGACGATTAACCCTTGAAATTGCAATCCAAGGCTTGGCCCAGGTCCTCAGGTGGAAACAGATCAGAGCCCTCTCCATCCATCGGCTTTTTTTATCCCAAACCTTGCTCCACTGATGGCCGCAGGTGGTGACAAAGTACTCGGAACTCCGAGTACTTTGTCACCACCTGCGGCCATCAGTGGAGCAAGGTTTGGGATAAAAAAAGCCGATGGAATCTGCCGCAGTCCTTCAAACTGTCAGAACACATTTCACTTCGAAAATTGTGGCAAGGATGGTAGATTTCGCAGCTGGGCAGGTTTAGAAAAGAACGATACTTCTCTGTGAATTCTGAAAACCATGGAAACATCCTGGTTGAGACCAAGAACGGGCCCCATCTATGCAAGATCAACAGAGTGAAATTGTGTCCTGGGACAAGCACAACCACACAAGTTTGATAAACCACCACACCATCTGCTAAAGACAAGATGATTTAAATCCTAAGTTGCAATATCCAGTTGGGTGATCATTCAACTTCCAGTTACATCATCATCATCATCATCATCATCATCATCATCATCCCAATCCGTTGCCTGACAAACAAAATCATAATCGCTGGGCTGTTGCACCAGCCTCGGTCAGGGTGAAAATGCTTGGGGCCATAAGTGGAGGTCAGGTGTGTGAGAATTTCAACACTTCCAAGACTAGAATAGTATAATTCCTATGCTCTGTTTGCAAGATTCATCAAGATTGCCAAATATTTGGCTGGTTCAACACATCGCAATGCTGATAATCAAAATTAACATATTGACTCCCCATCCACGCTGGCAGTTACCCTCCAACAAAATCCAGGCGTTTCTTTTCTCGTTGTCTGAAATCAGAAAAAATTACTGCAGGTTCCATACATATATATATATATACATAGCATGATATTCTGTCCATATCGTACCCCCGTAACATTGAGCAAGATCACCAGAACGTGGAATAAGAAACCCATTCCAAACTGATAAACAAAAACACAAAAAAAAAAAAAACATGAAATGCAAAGATCACCCGAATAACACCAACAAAACCAATTCCAAACACCAAAAAAATGGACGAAAAATCACCCGAATTTCCACCTGGAGAGGGAAGAGACGAAGGTGGCCATTTGGATTTTTCACCCAAACAGACTGTGTGAGGGTGAAAAATCCATATACCTCGGAACCCAGCTGTTGGAGGTTATGGTAGGTAAATGTATATACAATTCATATGTTTTTATGTGTGTCACAACTACTATATGTATTCTATATATGTATATATGTGCATGATGTAAAATATGTGTATAATATATAACATGTGCATTTTATATATAGTGTTATATATGTATATATATTGTGTATTCTATATATGTATTTTGTATGTTATAGATATATATATATATATTGTGTTTATATTTAAATATATATATGTGTATATATATATATATATATTATATATATATATGTAATGTATGTATACATATATATATATATATATATGTCTTATATATATATACATATGTGTGTGTGTGTGTGTGTCTTATATATATATATATGTCTTATACACACATATGTATGTATCATATATATATACATGTGTATGTGATTTTATGATATTTATATCTCTTGGAAAGTGATGTGAATAGTAGGTAAAACATGGGTACATGATGGGAAATGATGGAAATTGGATAAGAAAATGGAATATAATAATATAATGGAATCATGTTGCAGAAATGTTCGATGGGAGGACCACAGATCAAGGAGAGTTTTCTGGACATGGAAGTTGTGGGCATCAAAGCATACATCAGCCATCAGCGGTCCCATTGATACCATGCAAACCTTGATTTTTTGTGTATCAAGTTTTTGCTAACTATTGGACATGGCGCGTAAATCACGGAGTCCCATGTACAGTCCCATGTAAGAAGGACCAGGCTCATCCACATCTATGATGATGCGGGTCATATTTTGGTGTTGAACCATCCCATATTATGAAGTTTAAAGATAGGGTACCTAAATCCACTGATTCATTACCGTTATCATTTTCCCTATTAAATTGGCCGTTTCAGGGGTAGGCCCGGGTAGGCCCCATTTTTGGGGTAGCCCAAGGTTGACTCAGGCTACACAAACATGCACCCTGCGGCTGCTGCACCCTGCCTCTTTTTCGCTCGCTGACCCAACTGGAAGGCATACTGGTGCGCACAAGGATGCGTTTCCACCTGCGTTGGTCATGTGCCCTAAATTTACTTGTCTATCATCATCAAAATAACCATTTGTACAGTATATACAACCTGAAACAGACCATTTTGGGATGATTTCTCTTACTAGCCACACTTTAGAGTGACGTCGCAGTGACGCAGTGAGGTCGTTGTAATTCATCCAGAAACAGAAACAACATTTAAAGCATCGCAAAACCCAAAATTTAAAAGACCATAGGACAGAAATTATCCCCATATTTGCTTGATGCGGCTTGTTATTTCCCCATGACGCAGGCATGCTGGTTCGCTACAATCCCACTTGTTTTGTCGGCAACCTCATGCTTCACCTTTGTGGGCGGTTCATGACATTCACATAAAATATATAGATATAGATATACATGTGTATTACATGACATTGCATTAATTATATACATTATATTATATCATATTGTAATATATATCTTATGTATTTATTATATCATGTCATATAATATATCATATCATATTATATCATATCATATTGACATATTGTATGATATTTCAACTAAATTTAAACGTATGCTCTAGTCACACCTCAAAAACTTGACGGTTGCATGTGACGGTGACCTTGACGGTGAGTTTGACGGATCCGTATTTCATGACGGAAAGGTCGACGGTGAAGTTGACGGTCCGTCAAAGTGTCCGTTAAGGTGTCCGTCACGACAAAACAAGGCTTCTTTTGATGAAATAAGCCTTATTTCGTCCAAAAGAAACCGTATTTCATTAAAATAAGCCTTATTTTGTCTTGACGGGCACCTTGACGGACACTTTGACGGACCGTCAACCTCACCGTCAACCTCTCCGTCAACCTCACCGTCACAAAAAGGGAACCCGTCAACCTCACCGTCGATCTCTCCGTCAACCTAACTGTCAAGCATCCCGCATGCGCCACTAGAAACCTCAAATTCATACGTTTAAATTTAGATAATTGTAATACGTAGATCTAACCACCAAAAAGTCAGAATGTTTCACGCCATCAATCGAGAAATACAAGCAAACCAGAATGTTTCACCTTCACCTGTAATCAGGCTTGATTTCAGGCACTATAGACTGCAGGAACCCCCAAAAAAAATGTTGAACAGTGTTTCCAGGATGCTAGCGCGATGATGTTTCCCAACTGTTCCATCCTTGTGGGGGTTGCTATACAGGACCCCCCAAAAAAAAAATGTTAAAGAAGAAATGAGTTTAAAAATGTAAAAAAATGGTGTTAAAAGGATTTGTTTTAAAAAAAACACGGGTGTCCTCTCCATTTTCCCGCCAATCAGATTGGGCCTCTTCCAGCGCAGCCAAAGCCCACTGAACTTTGTCGGCCTGGCACTGAAAGATCTGAATAACGTCGAAGTAAAACAATAATAGGAACTATCATATATATATCACTGTTAGACTGTTATAGATATGTAATAATTATAACTATATATAACTATCATGAAAATATAGAACTATTATATCTCACTATATAACTTAGATCATAGTCCTCATTGAAGACAGAAGACTAAAACACTAAATACTACTTAAGACTACAATAATCCCCACAATATGTATATATATATATGTACAAAAAATTGCTATGGGCTATGGGTTAAAACCCCGTTAGCCGGGTGAACACCATTTTTTACCTAGTAAATGGATGTTCATCAAATCAAAATATAGTATGATAGGTTTTGATAAACAGCCACATAACCATGGAAAATCACCATTTTTATGGGGAAATCAACTATTTCTATGGCCATGTTCAGTAGTTTTTTGTATGTTTACCAGGCCGGGTATCAACACCGGACACGGGACGATCTCCTCATCGGCCGCGAGTTCTTCAGCTGCGATGTAGGAGGTAGCTACCATATATAAGGCCTACGTAAGGCCTATGTAAGGGGATATACCCCCAGAATATGGCCTTATATGGTACGGTACCTCCATTTTTGGATCCTGAAATTCCCATTGACCATAATTGTCATTGACTTATTTATGAATGGCTATAGATAATTGATAATGGTGTCAATAATGACCATAATCTTATCCATAATATCTCATGATATCTCCATCATAGTCTCAACCATAATCATTCATAATCTTGTGGACTGGTAATACTAGAAATGAATATAAATGACCAATAAGGAGCATAACCATAATATATCATCTCAGGATTGATGATGGAGTGATTGGTGTAGTGATTAGCGATGATTATGATTATAATTGTATAATCAAAATGAATTGTTGATCTTTCCATAATAGTTGATCTTTCCATGAGTATAATGATGTATATTTGTACACATTACACCCCAATAGTTGGACTATAGCTGGGATGCAAATAAGATCACCAGTATGAAATGACTTCGGAACTCAGCATGACAAAACTTGTGAAGTTGAAGCAGTTCGAAGTTCTTTCGCAGTGCTTCGGTGTTCACAACTTTGTGCAGTGATACTTTGCCGGACTTTGCCCTTCGGCTAGCCACTTGCCAGGCCAATTAGTGGGGCCCTACCTCTGCTCCTCTATACACGACTCACCCATGGTGCACAGGTCCCCCAGATTTATGAAAAAAAATCAATGGCTATATCATGTTATACACATGTTTTCGCGTTTCACGCTGATACTGTAGTGATTTCCTACATGAGAGATTGTTGAACATCTGGAAAAGCCACGCTGAACCTTACCATGTCCTGGTCCTTTAAATACCTGGATGAAGCCGGATGGCTATCAAAAAAGCCTGGTACAACCTGCTCTTCACAGCTCCTGAGCTCCCACTGAGCCCGAGACCCTGATTCTGTGGCCTGCAGGTTGCCCTGCTTATTGTCGTGCTGCCGACAAAGCCCCAACTGATATAATGCCATCACTACCTACAGAGCTTCAGAGCTTCACCCTGGGACCCCAAGGTTTGTTTTAAAAATGCTAGGGCACAGTGGGATTGAATTTCTTATTGGAACATATTGGAGATCTTTATAAGATCTTCATGTTCAATTCCTTTCATGTCCTTTCCCTGTTTTGATATGACTGGGATCTCACATGAAAAGAGTGTTAAGACTGTCTCCAATGTCCACTTATTAAAAAAATGTGCTTCCAGGCTCTCGAGGTACAGTACCAAACTTGTGGACCCCCAGATGCCCATGAGCGTCCACTTTTCCACTTGTTTCGCCTGATGTAGGTGTGTCTGAAAATGCTGGATTTCACCCCCAAATGGCTATTTGGAAGTTTCCAATCCATGGGGTACAGTAGCCCTAAATTTTCGACTTATAGGTCGGATTTTTCATGAAATAAACCATCCAGTCATTTGGGTATCCCCATTGATGGAAACCTCCATGGTCCAAGGCCCCGCGCCTGTCGCTTTTTAAAGCGCATGCCGTACCTCGACTTGCAACTTGCCCATGGCGCGTTGCTAAGACATTCCCATCCATTCGGAAAATCACTTAAGGTTGTACTTGGTTAGGTTCAATGACTAATGCCAACAACAACAACAACAACAACAACAACAACAACAAACTCGAAACACAATGCATGTCAACATCAAAAATCACCACCAAAAAGAACAAAACATAGAAAACATGTGAAAACATAGTCACAAAAACTCACAATATGGAGGTTTCTTGAATGGGGTATCCCCAAGACACCATGGGTTTCAACACTATCTTGGATGATTTGGACTTAGGCAACCTTCATATAGTATTACGCCCATTACATCACTAGTTCCAATGGTCAAGTACCATTAAATCACCATGGAAAATTACCACATCGAAGCCTCTGATGGACTTCGACGTGACTTAAAAGTGGGGCATTGTCCTATGGGGCACTGTCCGAGGATTTCCTCCAGCATCGCGGCGGAGTTCCATTGCTGGATCATGTCCTGGCAAGTTTCAGCGCTGCTTCCGACTTCAGTTTCTGAAAGGGGCCCATAGGTAGATCTTACCAACAAAGAGGAAATTGAACCAACAAAAATGGGGACTTGTCCTTGATTTATGGTTGATGTATAGTTGATTAATGTTGCGAAGTTGCTGCAAATAACTAGGTTGACTAGGTTTATGGTGAGTGTAACTATCGTTCCATGAGGTTATAAACCTAGATTTTTTTCAGTGAGGTCAACCATCATCAAACCATCATCAACCATCAACCATCATCAACCATCATCAACCATCATCAACCATCATCAACCATCATCAACCATCATCAACCATCAACCATCATCAACCATCATCAACCATCATCAACCATCAACCATCATCAACCATCAACCCCATGTGCACCATTGAACTTCAACACAGAAACTTTTTTTGGGGCTGAATGGCCTCGATGTCTTCTAGCGGCAGGGCGCACGCGTCCTGAGTAGCGCGGATGTTATAATCATTGTATACCTTAATATATTCTGTTTGAAGTAGATATAGTAATATATCATATAGTAAATGAATGCAAATACATGTGAACAGAAATGTAAATAGATGTAAAGAAGTAAAAATAAAAGTGTATATAGATGTTTTTTATTTCATGGACATGTCGATCTAGATATAAAAAAATCTTTGAAGCTGTCCACATGAAACATATTCCAGTCGTCCCTCGAGCACCCCAGTTGTCCCAGGAATCTCTCGGTTTGGACCGACCACCCCCGATATACTGTAGCACGTTTTGACTATGGCAAATGTGATACGGTCATCATAATCATGATGCATAATACTTGTTTAAAAAACATTTGTTATAGTTAACATATACATAGTAATATACTAACTAGCACTATCAAGAATGCACTTGAACATGAATGATTCCCCTTACGTCATAAGCGAAACATCAAGGCACCAACGGCACGATACAACGTCTCAGGCTGCTGCTCTCAGAGCCTGACTCAAACTAGAGCTCCTGCAGGATGGAATGGTATATATAAGAAAGATATCTATGGGGATACCACTGGGATAGAATGGGAAATATTGGGAAATGTTATGTATATAGTATATGTGTATAATTTAATATAATATATATAATTATACCAGTGGTACCGCACAAGGCCGTGGCGGAAGTTTTCAAAATTACACCACCGTAGACCCCAAACAGTCGGCGGATTCAAGACGTGTTTTTGAGGAACTGGTCTGTTTTGAGTTCTTGCGCGAAATTTGATCGAAGACTATCAACACATCGGCTCCGCAATTTGAGTCAAAACAGGATTCATCATGCAAAGTCAATCGACAGCCAAGACGAATGCAATTTTGCCAATTGGAAGACTTGCTAACAGATTTACAGTACAATTTTAAAAAAAAAAACTATGAAAACTTCTCAGCTGTATGCAGCTGTCCAACAAGTGGTGCATAAATACTTTCCCAAATATCCACACAAATCTCTTGCAATTCCAATATTCACCCCAAAACTCAGCCTGAGCTGCAATTATCAGATTGTCAACATGCTGGTTCCCCGATTATCTGGGAAATTACCGTTTACTTGGGGGCCGCCTTGTTCGCGTATTGTATGGCATGACCTGACTTTATGTCATGGAAATGCTGTAGAATTGCAGATTTTGTGGAAATAGCACTAGCACGTAGCAACTCCCAATGCCAGAGGCCCCGAATGTATTTCTCGCCTGCTCAGGTGCAGGTTGAAGAGCATTTCTTGTGTCAGATGCGCGGAGCACTTTCCTTTGGCAGTGCCGCCCTTGACACCGAGACTGCGCAAATCCACTCAATCGGCGGGCTCACCATCACCCGAAGAACCCAGCTCCGTAGCCTCGGCTTGCAGCGAATACGCTCCCGCATGACTCTTAGGCAGAGGGGCCAGTTTTTTCTTCTGAACACTGGAAAAAAACAACCGTGTGGTGGTTTCTCTTACTAATTAGATGATGGCTACAACATTTCAACATTTCCCAGCCCTGAAACATGGACGAAAAAAGTGCCGAGCTCCATTACTGGTCCCACGGATAACCTTCTTCAGCCGAAAACCACCCGGAAAATATTTTTTCGAGGGAAACACCTGTGAAGGGTGAATTGGTCCGCTTCCACTCAAACAAAAGGTTTGCATCAGTGGGGCAGTGGGGTCTGGGTTGTATGCCATCGTATTCCCATTATAAAACATGTTTCTGGTTAAACCATCATTTTTAATGCTACATGGGCTTCATGGAGTTCCAAACTCCAAACTTTCTACATGCTGCAAGTGGAATGTTGTCCGCAGCTCAAAGCCAGCTACATCGCATCATCAATGTTTGTTACATGCACACTGTTGGATACCCCTCCCACTGCTCATGCCTGTATCTTCACAAGTGCCTTGTGGCCTCGTTTAGTGAATTAGGCCTGTGAGGTAAAAATGCAAGGGGAAATGGTGGCACAAACATGCAAAAACTACTTTTCCAATCTGCTAAGAGCAAGACCCATTTTCCATTCTTCCAGGTCCCTTCGGCGAGAGCGTTCCTGTGTACGCAGCTCCACATGGCAAGGTTTGAAAAATCGTATGTGTCTTCGCTGACCCTGTCTTACCAGATTCTATACCTGCTGCACTGCAAAATGCTAATTAGTATTCAAGATATGAATTAGCTTTCTTTGGGACATCATGCTCTGATTAGTCATGGGAACGTTAGTTCCCGTTCGAGCATTTTTTGGGTTTATTTATTTATAAAACAATCCAATCTATGAAATGAAACAGCACCTAATTATGGTGATTTGATCATAAAACAGCACCTAATTATGGTGATTTGAGATAATTTGATCATAGAGCACCAACTTATATATATATACGTATACATATACATATACATATACATATACATATACATATACATATACATATACATATACATATTATACATATATATATACATATACATGTATATATATAATATATGTTATTTATTGTGTTAAGGTGAGATACGTTAAAAACCGTTCGACAACGTTAAATACCGTATATATATATATGAGCGTTAAACCCCGTTCAGGCCCTATAAAGAGTTTTCTTGAGGTTTGACAATGCTAAATAGTACTATGAGGGGCTGCAGGTACTATATTTTGTGATTGTTTTGTGTTAGCCAAAGACCCAATACTCAATGTGACATTGCGCCTTGAGTATTGAAAGTATTGAAGCATGCCAGCAACAGTAGTTGCATCCGATATATGCTTCCAGATCTAAGATACAACTTATTTTAGTTTACAATACCGGCATTCACCGTACTATATGTAAATATAAAGTACATAGAGGGATAGATATGTTCAATTTATTCTCTTCCTCCCAGCTACAGAGAAAGGTTACCTGACATCTTGATTCTTTGTTGCGTTCGTGAATTTGTTGGTGTCCAATATACGCACTCTGTAAAAAAACAACTGCAAGATACCTTCTAGAAGCACCAAAACACCATAGAAATCCACATTTCCCACTTGAGCCTTGTGGGCCCTTTCTTGCCACATCTGCCACAAGGACACATTCAGACAGCAAGAGTATGGGATATCTTGACTGGATGTGCAGGCAATCATATCAAGACTTGCCGCCTTCAGTCAAAATGGCAGGGCCAGTACCTTTTGGTAATCAAAAAAGACACCGGGAGGCCCCTGATTTTCAAGATCCCTGGAATCTGCTTACTGGGGGTGCGTGTCGCAATGTACATGTCCACCAAGGATCCAAGGGTAAAGCAACCTTGTTTGCGCAGAAATTTGCCAACAATCGATACTCGATTCAATTGCATGTTTTCGTCTTGTCTGGCCCCAAGAGAGTGTCGGATCCCCCAAACCAGTTCAAACCCATTCTGATCATAGCACCCAAGGAAGTATAGCGCCCTTAACATCTTGAAACACCCTGGCGCCTCCACCTCCTCCTCCAACCGTGAGACCTCTTGGGAAATACAGCAGTTCATGGGGATGTTCATGAGAGATTTATGGGAATACAGCAGAATCTAGTGTAATATTGATGAATATTCCATAAGCAACAATATGATAAGATTGAAACGTCAAAGAATCGTGGTTCAACTCTCAAACCAGTGAATGTAACAAACCAAAATGGCGGCTAAAAGGAAGCATCCATTCTTTACCAAAATCAATCTATGACAAACTGGCAAAGCCAGAAACAAACAGGGGCTGACCACCAAACATGCAGGTTTAACAAACAGAAATGTGGATATAGTATAATCCCAGTTGGTTGGTGGATGAGCCATTCCTATTGCGGAAAAAGCAAATGATTCATGGTTAAAAACTCCTGGCGATAAAGTGCTGTTGCGTGAGCCAAGAGCGATAAGAACAGTTGATGACGGTGCGACTCAATCGGCGCCCTGCAACTGCACCTTTCGCTGCTCCGATTTCAATTCCGCCTGGGGCCGCGATCGTTCCAAAACATCCTAAGAATATGTATATATATATATATGTGTATATTACCGGTGTATATATATAATATAATATATATATATATATTATTATATATATATATTCCAGTCAACTTTGGGTTGCCATTCCAACTTCAACCACAAAACCGCCCATCCAACGCCCCAAGGGGCATATCAATTGGCAAATTGAGGCAGCAAGTCAGCCCAAGAAATCATCATCTAAACCTAAACATTCAAAATGATCCAAACTGATCTTTAACCAATCCATTAAGGAGCCCAGGCCCCAGCCATGCCAGCCATGCCCGACACATCCTGGCGCCTCTGCCTGCTTCGCACGGCTGATGGCGGCTTCCGCCGGGGAACGCGACGCGGCCAGCTGGCCCTTGAGGTCAGCGCAACTTGCGCAGAGGCATGAAGCCTCGCCCCTGGGCCCGGGGTGTCTTGTCCATATAGCATTTGATGGCGATATTCATGGGGGCCATTTCAGGGGTAGGCCCCATTTTTGGTGTAGCCCAAGGTTGACTCAGGCTACACAAGCGTGCACCCTGCGGCTGCTGCACCCTGCCTCTCTTTGGCTTGCTGAGCCAACTCCAAGGCATACTGGTTCGCACGCGGATGCGTTTTCACCTGCGTTGGTCATGTCCCCTAAATTTACTTGTCTATCATCATCAAAATAGCCATTGGGGGGTACAGTATATACAACCTGAAACAGACCATTTTGGGATGATTTCTCTTACTAGCCACACTTTAGAGTCGAGTGACGTCGCAGTGACGCAGTGAGGTCGTTATAATTCATCCAGAAACAGAAACAACATTTAAAACATCTCAAAATCCAAATATAAAAGAACATAGGACAGAAATTATCCCCATATTTGCTTGATGCTGCTTGTTATTTCCCCATGACGCGGGCATGCTGGTTCGCTACAGTCGCACCTGTTTTGTCGGCAACCTCATGTTTCACCTTTGAGCGGTTCATGACATTCACATATATATATATGTATATACATACATGTATATTACATGACATTGTATTACATTACATTATATTATATCATAGTGTAATAAATATATATATATATATATATTAATGTATATATATATATTATGTATGGAATATATTATGTCACAAAATATTATATCATAGCATTTTATATCACATCATATTATAGCATATCATACTGACATATTAATATTGTATTATATTGTAATACGTAAATCTAACAACCAAAAAGTGAGAATGTTTCACGCCATCAATCGAGAAATACAAGCAAACCAGAATGGTTCACCTTCACCTGTAATCAGGCTTGATTTCGGGCACTATAGACTGCAGGAACCCCCAAAAAAAATGCTGAACAGTGTTTCCAGGATGCTAGCGCGATGATGTTACAGGACCCCCCCCCAAAAAAAAAAGTTAAAAAAGAAATGAGTTTAAACATGTAAAAAAGGAATGGTGTTAAAAGAATTTGTTTAAAAAAAACACGGGTGTCCTCTCCATTTTCCCCCCAATCAGATTGGGCCTCTTCCAGCGCAGCCAAAGCCCACTGAACTTTGTCGGCCTGGCACTGAAAGATCTGAATAACGTCGAAGTAAAACAATAATAGGAACTATCATTTATATATCACTGTTAGACTGTTATAGATATGTAATAATTAAATTTATATATAACTATCATCAAAATATAGAACTATTATATCTCACTGTATAGCTTAGATCATAATCCTCATTGAAGACAGAACACTAAAACACTAAAACACTAAATACTACTTAAGACTACAATAATCGCCACAATATATATATATATATATATGTACAAAAAATGGCTATGGGCTATGGGTTAAAACCGTGTTAGCCTGGCCACTGGTGAACACCATAAAATTTACCTAGTAAATTGATGTTCATCAACTCTAAATATAGGATGATAGATTTTGATAAACAGCCACATAACCATGGAAAATCACAATTTTTGATAGGGAAATCAACTATTTCTATGGCCATGTTCAATATTTTTTTGTATGTTTACCAGGCCGGGTGTCAACACCGGACACGGGACGATCTCCTCATCGGCCGCGAGTTCTTCAGCAGGGATTTGGACTAAGCGATCCAACACGGCCGACATCAGCGACCTGGTGGTCGATCATCGCTGGTGATAGGTGACCATAATAGTCATTGACTTATCTATTACCCTCTGGTAAACATACAAAAAACTATTGAAAATTGCCATTTATAGTGGAATTACCCATTAAAAATTGTGATGTTCCATAGTTATGTTAGTTTACCAGAGGGTAGTGGCTATAGATAATTGATAATGGTGTCAATAATGACCATAATCTTATCCATAATATCTCATGATATCTCCATCATAGTCTCAACCATAATCATTAATATTCTTGTGGACTGGTAATACTAGAAATGAATATAAATGACCAATAAGGAGCATAACCATAATATATCATCTCAGGATTGATGATGGAGGGATTGGTGTAGTGATTAGCGATGATTATGATTATAATTGTATAATCAAAATGAATTGTTGATCTTTCCATAATAGTTGATCTTTCCATGAGTATAATGATGTATATTTGTACACATTACACCCCAATAGTTGGACTATAGCTGGGATGCAAATAAGATCACCAGTATGAAATGACTTCGGAACTCAGCATGACAAAACTTGTGAAGTTGAAGCAGTTCGAAGTTCTTTCGCAGTGCTTCGGTGTTCACAACTTTGTGCAGTGATACTTTGCCGGACTTTGCCCTTCGGCTAGCCACTTGCCAGGCCAATTAGTGGGGCCCTACCTCTGCTCCTCTATACACGACTCACCCATGGTGCACAGGTCCCCCAGATTTATGAAAAAAAATCAATGGCTATATCATGTTATACACATGTTTTCGCGTTTCACGCTGATACTGTAGTGATTTCCTACATGAGAGATTGTTGAACATCTGGAAAAGCCACGCTGAACCTTACCATGTCCTGGTCCTTTAAATACCTGGATGAAGCCGGATGGCTATCAAAAAAGCCTGGTACAACCTGCTCTTCACAGCTCCTGAGCTCCCACTGAGCCCGAGACCCTGATTCTGTGGCCTGCAGGTTGCCCTGCTTATTGTCGTGCTGCCGACAAAGCCCCAACTGATATAATGCCATCACTACCTACAGAGCTTCAGAGCTTCACCCTGGGACCCCAAGGTTTGTTTTAAAAATGCTAGGGCACAGTGGGATTGAATTTCTTATTGGAACATATTGGAGATCTTTATAAGATCTTCATGTTCAATTCCTTTCATGTCCTTTCCCTGTTTTGATATGACTGGGATCTCACATGAAAAGAGTGTTAAGACTGTCTCCAATGTCCACTTATTAAAAAAATGTGCTTCCAGGCTCTCGAGGTACAGTACCAAACTTGTGGACCCCCAGATGCCCATGAGTGTCCACTTTTCCACTTGTTTCGCCTGATGTAGGTGTGTCTGAAAATGCTGGATTTCACCCCCAAATGGCTATTTGGAAGTTTCCAATCCATGGGGTACAGTAGCCCTAAATTTTCGACTTATAGGTCGGATTTTTCATGAAATAAACCATCTAGTCATTAGGGTATCCCCATTGATGGAAACCTCCATGGTCCAAGGCCCCGCGCCTGTCGCTTCCTGAAATGCATCCCGTACCTCGACTTGCAACTTGCCCATGGCGCGTTGCCAAGACATTCCCATCCATTCGGAAAATCACTTAAGGTTGTACTTGGTTAGGTTCAATGACTGACTAATGCCAACAACAACAACAACAACAAGAAGAGCAAGCTCGAAACACAATGCATGTAAACATCAAAAATCACAACCAAAAAGAACAAAACATAAAAAACATATGAAAACATAGTCAAAAAAACTCACAATATGGAGGTTTCTTAAATGGGGTATCCCCAAGACACCATGGGTTTCAATACTATCTTGGATGATTTGGAGGACCCCCATGACTTAGGCAACCTCCATATTGTATTGCCCAAATCAATGGTTACATTACGACCATTACATCACTAGTTCCAATGGTCAAATACCATTAAATCACCATGGAAAATCACCACATCGAAGCCTCTGATGGACTTCGACGTGACTTAAAAGTGGGGCACTTTGAGATGACCTCCGCCACCATCGCAGGGGAGTTGCATTGTTGGATTGAGTCCTGGCAAGTTTCAGCGCTGCTTCCGACTTCAGTTTCTGAAAAGGGGCCCATAGGTAGATCTTACCAACAAAGAGGAAATTGAACCAACAAAAATTGGGATTTGTTGTTGATTTATGGTTGATGTATAGTTGATTAATGTTGCGAAGTTGCTGCAAATAACTAGGTTGACTAGGGTTTATGGTGAGTGTAACTATAGTTCCATGGGGTTATAAACCTAGTTTTTTTCAGTGTAGATACCCTCTGGTAATTTTGTTACATAGCGATGGAAAATCACAATGTTTACATACGTTTACTAAATAAATCATCGAACTAAATGGGTTATTGCTTACATAGCTATGTTAAATTACCAGAGGGTATCACATACATCGTGGACAACAAACCTGGGGAATCCCCTTCGACGACGTAGATAATTTTGTCATTGAAAATGTGAATGTCCCATTGTCGGTCACTAAGGATCATTCGTATGCACGCAAGAGTGCAGTGCCGCATATATTTTTTTCATGATGTTTTCTATTCATAACTAAAAAACATCAGCCATCATCAACCATCATCAACCATCATCCACCATCATCAACCATCATCAACCATCATCCACCATCATCAACCATCATCAACCATCACCAACCATCATCAACCATCATCAACCATCATCAACGATCATCAACCATCATCGACCATCATCAACCATCAACCCCATGTGCACCATTGAACTTCAACACAGAAACCTTTTTTGGGGCTGAAAATGTGCTGTTCCCTGGCCTCAATGTCTTTTAGCGGCACCGTGGTATCTGTGTCCTGAGTAGCGCGGATGTTATAATCAGTGTATATCTTAATATATTTTGTTTGAAGTAGATATAGTAATATGTCATACAATGCTAGATAGTGTATTATTATGTATATGTTAACAATAACAGATGTTTTTTAAGAAGTATTTTGTATCATGATTATGATGACCGTATCACATTTGCCATGGTCAAAACGTGCTACAGTATATCGGGTGCGGTCGGTCCAAACCGAGAGATTCCTGGGACAACTGGGGTGCTCGAGGGACGACTGGAATATGTTTCATGTCGACATCTTCAAAGATTGTTTTATATCTAGATCGACATGTCCATTAAAGAAAAAACATAGATTTACACTTTTATCTTTACTTCTTTACTTCTATTCACATTTCTGTTCAAATGTATGTACATTCATTTACTATCAAGAATGCACTTGAACATGAATGATTCCCCTTACGTCATGAGCGAAACCTTCAAGGCACCAACGGCACGATACAACGTCTCAGGCTGCTGCTCTCAGAGCCTGACTCGAAGAAGAGCTCCTGCAGGATGGAAAGGTATATATATGAAAGATATCTATGGGGATATATCTGGGATAGAATGGGAAATATTGGGAACTGTTATGCGTATAATATATGTATCTGTATATTATATAAATAGTTATACCAATAGTACCGCACAAGGCGGTGGCGGAAGTTTCAAAAATAGTAAACCTATAGGAGAGGTTGGTTGTTGTGAATCACGGATGGCAGAGCGAATCCACTGATGGACCGAAAGGTGGTTGGAGTTGTGTTTTCTGGAGTGGCTGCAATGGTTGCAGTGGTCACCTCACCACAACTGCTTGGTGTAGTGTGGTGTAGAGTTGTAGTTGTAGGTGTAGTTGTAGTGTAGTGGAGTTGTAGTTTCAAGTTGTAGATGTAAAGTAATGCAATTAGTGTAGTGTAGTTGCAGTTGCAGTTGTTGTTGTGGTGTGGTGTAATTAGTGTAGTGTATTGTAGTGTACTGTAGTGTTGTGGACTGTAGCGTGGTATAGTGTAGTGTAGTCTAGCGTATTGTAGTGTAAAGTAGTGTAGTTGTAGTTGTAGTGAACTGTCGTGTAGTGCAATGTAGTGGTAGCCGCGGTTGTAGCGTAATGTAATGTCGTTAGTGTAATGTGATCTAGTTGTAGCTGTACAAATCGTATTGGAGTGGCTGCATCCAGGCTGCGATAGCGATTTGTCAGCATATTTTCTTAATTTTGGCGCTAGTAATTTTCCTTGTGAAATTCCTTTTAAAAAGTGCTTCAAAATTGTCTTTTGTCTGCTTTGGCATCGAGATCCGGTTTTGGAGCTGCAGTTTCCGACGCCGTTGCGCGCAGTTCTATTGTGCTTTGCAACTCAGTCTCTGCAGATTGCATTGTAGTGGCTGCGTCAAGGTTGCTCGGTGCCGCGGCTGCATGCGTAATACTACTGTCTTTTGCAGCTAAGATCGTAAATCGTATTGGAATGGCTGCATCAAGGCTGCGACAGTGATTTGGCAGCAGATTTTCGCAATTTTGGCGCTGATAATTTTCCTTTTAAAAATATTTTTAAAAAGTGCTTCAATATCGTCTTTTTGTCGCTGTGGCGTCGAGATCCGGTTTTGGAGCTGCAGTTTCCGAGGCCGTTGCGCGTAGTTCTATTGTGTTTTGCAACTCAGTCTCTGCAAATTGCATTGGAACGCCTGCGTCAAGGTTGCTTGGTGCCGCGGCTGCATGCGCAATACTATTGTCTTTTGCAGCTGAAGATCGTAAATCGTATTGGAAAGTCTGGATCTTCCAGCCCATGTTCCTCTACGAAAGGATGCTCAGTATCCACATTCACTGCTGTCACCCGGTCTCTCTACCAAAAGAAAACCAAGCCGGCCCAGTGCATTTTCATCGCATGGCCTTTACAGTATTGCCGGCCGAGTTTGCAAGCATTTGCCTAAGGATGTCCCTTTTTGAATGTCGCGTCGTTATAAAAAAGAAACAGAACACATCAAAACAGAACAGATTGTACTGCCTCTGAAAATGTCCTCCAAAGTTTTCTTCCAAAGTGTCATAGCAAATTTCTGGAGATTGGAACAACGGGCACTGTCTCCTTTGCCACTTCTTCCCTCAACGTCACACACGACGGCCGTACCCCTCTGATCTGGCAGAAGCCATGT